TGTATCATAATAATTTTACCCGTTTGTTTCGTAAAGTATTTTTATTTAAAAGAAGAAAAAAAAACAATTTATATATATTTGACTTATTATATTCATCTGTTCAATGGCGATCATTGTAAAAGAGAATTTTAAACGCGAGGCGTCGTGTGCGAAAGTTGATCATTTCGAACGAAAATAAAGTTGATTAACTTGTTAAACCTTTTCTCTTTGTTATTCGATTCATCTCGAACTAGTGGTTGTTTTTGTTACATGATCATATTATCGTGATCATATATTTACATAATTTATGCATGAGACCGTAAAGAGGATTTCTTTTTCTATATGACCTAAGCTTCCGCTAATAAATAAAGCGTTACGCGTTACGTGAATTCTAGGATTATATGGAATCCCTTTGGTCCTTGTTGTGTTTGCTTTGCAAATTTACACGGCTGTTATTCTTGGCAAATCATGGATGATTGCAACCACTCTGGATCCCCAAATTTTGAGAAAAAATCGGTAAGGTTTATTTTTACCTCTGTTACTATTCAGTAATTTTTATTTGAGTTTATCTTACAGGAATCCCCTTGCAGCCGTGACCGAATTAACTTTGGGTCCACGAGCGAGAACCTTGGTCACTGTAATCCTAGATCTTACAGTTTTTGGTTGCAGCATACCTAATTTGTTGGTTGGTAAGTTAAAATGAGCTTTTAATGTGTATAAAAAAATGTATATGTATTCATTGCATATGAGTTTCAGCTTCGCAGAATTTCCAATTATTCGGATTAAAAGTTTCTGGGCAAAGGTTTGATTTGTCCTTTTGCTATTGGCTTCTAGTTGTGGGCGTACTTTTGTGCCCAATTATGTGGCTTGGTAGTCCACGTGATATGAAGTAATTAAAACTGAAATTTCTGCTAAATTATATTTTGTATATTTCAAATGTAACTTATTTAAATATAATGAATGTTTATAGATTTTTGGCCTTATTCTCTTGCACAATGGTTTTTTTTACGGCACTATTAATATGGTGGTGTATAATTACCGATAATCGAGAACTTGATGTTGCACCAGTACCTACGTCACCATCTTGGGACAAATTTATTTCCGGGTATATCCTTAAAAAAGCTATTAATTCTAGTTGTAGTTACTCATTTTTATTCAACGTTTATTGTTAAATGATTTTCTAGTTATGGAATGTTGGCGTTTCAATTTGATGTGCATCCAACATTAATGACCGTGCAAGTAGATATGCGTCGTCCTCAAGACATCAATAAAGCAGTTGTAATTTCTTTCTTAGGTATATTGCTCTTATAATTAAAACACTATTTCATGTTCTTGTTAATTGAATTACTAATTGATGATGCTATTCCTTATAGTCAGTGGTTCCTTGTTTGTCGTTACTACTAGCCTGACTGTCTGGAAATATGGAGCTAGTACAACAGCCAATGTTCTGCAAGTAGTTCCAGGAAATTTTGCAATGAGCGCGGCCGTTCTTTTTGCTGCTGTTCAACTTTGTCTTTCCAGTGCCCTTGGTCACTCAGCTCTGTTCCAAGATTTGGAAGAACAATATAATATTCAGAGAAGTAAGAAATCGTAATATAACAGAAAGTTAAATGATTGTGAGCAGAAATAACATTATAATTTGAGCCTAAAACAGATTTTGGATGGAAACGATGTGCCATAAGATCAGCCATTGTCTTCCTTGGAGTAGTTGTAGGAGAATCTGTGCCAAGATTTGATATTGTGATGGCTCTGATTGGAGGATCCTTAACTGGTCCATTAGTGTTCCTACTACCACCGTTAGTATATTCAAGAGCCATTGCTTTGAAAGCAAGATCCATGCGGCCTTTAACTCCTGAAGTGTACTCTGGTTCTGAGAGGCGTCGTAGCAGCGAGGGCATGTCAGCTGATCCAAGAATTCATTCAAGATCAATTTATTATGGTGTCCTAGGTGTGCCTAAAACTGAGTACCATCGATATTCTTATGTTTATTATGACGAGTTTGATGATGAATTCGAGGGAATCATGGATTGTGAAAGCGATACCATAGTCTCTGGGGAAGCCAATGAAGAATTTTTAATGACAAACAGAGCTCACGATGGTAAACCTATATTTGTAGATGCCAGCCGACCTATTAGGATTTATAAAAGCGTGGTAACTCCTGAGGAACCGATTTCGAAGTCAACAATGCGATGCAATTGTCGAAGATGGAACGATTGGCTCGGTTATTTAATTGTATTGTTTGGTATCATTGTCACTATCTCTTCGACGTATATCAACATTAAGAACACGATACGTTATGTACAATTCACACCGCCGTGCATCGTGAATGTCACTGTAGTACAAAATCCTGTATAAAGTATAAGTATTTTATGCTGAGAAAGAAAGAAAAGTTGCACACAATTTTCTGCATTTTTTACGGATATTTTAAAAGTAATTCTAGGAGTAAGATAGTTTTTCTACCTTTATATATACATTTTGTAAACTTCTGCTAATTAAAGCTATGTAAACGATTTTCTGTTTTAATGTATTTAGGTTAATTTTGCAAGGTATAACCTATTTTTAACATAAAAAAATGTACGATTCATTTTTTATGGTTTTAATGCACTATAAATTATTTTCTTGTTTCCCACTTTCTCATCAAATTAATTTCATAATCAATTTAAATTCTCTGAAGCCGCTTTCTCAGTTCCACGAATGGCCGCAATGTGGCAGCATCGTACTGATAAGAATTCGCACTCAATGATAAACACGTGGACTTTCAAATTTAAGAAATTAATATTTCCCTAATATCACACATCTATTTAAATAAATTAAATAAAAAATATAAAATCATTGTGCAATATACACGTGTTTCCGGACAATAAATATCACAAGAATCAGCTGATATCGCACTAATACTTAACTGTGAAGGTTACCTTGAAAAATCATCTGAATGCATATACATATGTACTTCCTCCGCGTAACCTTGTTAGTTTTATGTCTACAAAAATATGCATCTACATTGAAACATTATTTTTAGAATAAATTATTTAATCTACTTGTTATTGTTATAGCTTGACAACTTTAACATCCACATAGAAAATGAAATCGATTATTTAGTAGCACTATATAATGTGTCTCGTATTTTACAGTAGTTATTCCTATTATTAATATATTTTATTTTTGCACGTGTTTCATGCACGTGGTTCATTTTTAATTTCGTTTCTTCATTTATCATTGCAGACGACTCATTACGTCATATTGTCCAACATTTCTAATGACGATCGTGGAAGGGATACGAATAAACCTGTGACGTTTACGTACCAGGTCTTACGATACTGTCCGCGCCATACGAATGATCGGTTCCCGTTGGATCCATTTTATGTGTTAACTTCAGTTCCCCATTTATTCGTTCAATTTCGACCACCGATTAATAAAAAATAGTTAAAAATGATACCAAGCTGCATCAGAAGTATGGGTGCCCAAACGTCGAAGCGAAATGTGAGTACATAATCTAATGAACGACAAATGACCTCTAACTAGCTACTTGCCAACACGTTCCATGCCAGTGTATTAGTATAATCTTTTAATCGTATAATATTCACTTCGGGTCTTACAATTGAACATTCATTCTTTTATTTTTTTATATCTCCTCCTGGTGTCTTACCAGTTTGGCAGTTGGAACGAGGTAATTATTCGTATAGATTTATTCATGTGTTTATTATGATCGAAAATCATAATTTCTTTTCTTTATATCGCATCGTGTTGAATTCCTCTTACTTTTTTTAAATTTTCTTTCTCCACTTTTCGCGAGTTCGTTAAGATCATGGTGTGATTACACATAAAATCACAGAGCCACTGTGCGTTTTTTCAATTTTGTGATTCTACAAGCTTTTAGCATATAAGTAGAAACTAACTATACATTATATTCTTTCTTTGTTTGACTATTTATTTTCTTTTGCATATTTTTGTGAACCAAAACAACTTATGACATGAATGTCGTATGTCATTTTGTAAAACAAAGTATAAGAAGTGTATTTGCATTATGGATTTGTAGGTGATATCCTTCTTCTTCAAGAAAAATAATTATGCCACAGAAGCTACATTTGAAACAAAACCTTTTCGACTACATAAATTGGACAATGGACCTTCCAATAAAATCACTATTACCAAAGATGAAGCTGTGGATCTATATAAACAGTTACATACAATCCGTCGTATAGAAACAGCTGCAGGAAACCTCTACAAAGAGAAAATTGTCAGAGGTTTCTGCCACTTGTATTCTGGTCAAGTAAGAATAATTTTACTTTTTTTTAATGATAAAAAAGTTTGATAAAACTTTTCATTAATCAGAGGTGTTTATACTTTTGTTTGGTAGGAAGCTTGTGCAGTTGGTATGAAGTCAGCTCTTAGACCACAAGACTGTGTAATCACTGCTTACAGAGCTCATGGATGGACTTATTTAATGGGGATAGAGCCATTTGGTGTTTTAGCTGAATTAACTGGTAGAAAAGGTGGAAATGCAAAGGGTAAAGGTGGTTCTATGCACATGTATGCCAAGAACTTTTTTGGTGGAAATGGCATTGTTGGTAGCCAAGTAAGTATTAACTGTTGAAACAATTGAATCAACTATCAACATAGCATTGTTACAAAAAACAAGTTCATAGGTACCATTAGGAGTTGGAATTGCTTTTGCTCAAAAATATTTGAATACTGGAGGTGTGTGTCTTACACTGTATGGAGATGGTGCAGCTAATCAGGGACAAGTATTTGAAGTATACAATATGGCCAAATTGTGGGATGTTCCTTGCATCTTTATATGCGAAAATAACGGATATGGTATGGGTACTAGTGTTGACCGTGCTTCTGCAAGTACTGAGTATTACACAAGAGGAGATTATGTACCTGGAATTTGGGTTTGTTTGCACATGTAATAATTTAATAGTAATGTGATTGTTTTATAAATTACAATAATTAAATGTTTTATTAGGTGGATGGTATGGATGTACTTGCAGTTAGGGAAGCTACCAAATTTGCAGTAGATTACTGTACATCTGGTAAAGGTCCCATTATCTTAGAAACTGTAACTTATAGATACAGTGGACACAGTATGTCTGATCCTGGAACTAGTTATCGTACAAGAGAGGAAATTCAAGAAGTAAGGCAGTCCAGAGATCCCATTACTGGTTTCAAGGAACGAGTACTGAATGCCAATCTTATTACCGCGGAAGAAATAAAGGTAAATTTAATCTTACTAAAGTCTTGTGCCAAAAGTGGAGGTTTATTTAAAAATAATGTTATTCTTTACAGGCGCTGGAGAATGATATAAGAAAAATAGTAGATAGCGCTGTGAAAGCTGCGAAGGCGGATACTGAAATTCCATTAAGCGAACTTACTGCTGATATTTATGCCACTTGCGCAGAGAAGAATATTCGTAACATTACTCCGTTCAATCCTTTGCCACACTCAAGGCTAGGACCAGCTGTGCCCTGCCATTAAAAAAATTTGTAGTCTGTACAAAATCTCGTAAGGGATATTCTCCTAAAGTTGAGCAAGAAAATAGTAAATCTTTGGAGCACCTTTTCGTTTATTACTTTATAGTTCAGTTGTATATATACAAACTGTATATTTATTTTATTTATAGATGTATAATAATACCGTGAGAAAGAGATTCAACGTTTCAGATCGATTAGTACATAGTAATATTCACTGCCACAATTGCAGCACCAGTGATTTTACATGTACATAAATACACTATACTTACAATCATAGATCAGAATAGTAAATGTATCAAACTTTGTTCAAAGGACAGAATCTTGTTATTCTTTTATTCTTGGTAGGAGATTGTACGATTGTACAAAATAATTGTAGATATGCTCATGTATCACACATGTTTATCGCCTTACATTAGTAAAATAAATGAAATTTATAGTAACTTGTAAAATAGTACATTTTATATGATTTCATATAATGAATAACATGCTTCTTTCGACAATAAAAAGTATAAAAAGTACTAATATGCAATTAAAGTGGATGCGTTTCATTCAGAACTGAATAAAAATCTTTATAATTTTGTTGAATCGATTTAAAATTTAATTTTAGAACACATCAATGGATAACTTCGCAGTAGTAATGCATTTATGAACACATTGTTGGAATCCATTTTTCTATCCTTGTTCTATCGAATTCGGGTTGCTTGGTGTCATTCATTTGATGCGATTTGTGTAAACACTTTCCTTTAAAGATCACGTTACTAGGTACGAACGTTGTGCCAGTCTCACATTGACAACGGTTTGGTGAAGAAGAAGGAATAATGTCCGCTACAGGAGGTTGTGGTGGTGTTTGCACAATTTTGCAAAAACTTGGCTTGCAACCGGTTACAAAATGTAGCCTCGTAAAATTTTACGCTCCCGCTTTCGGTGTCGCCTCGTATTCTGCACTGTCTCTTAACGTGATGAATCCAGGTCTTGCCGTCAGGTAAGATAGTTAGAAATCCATTGAGTTTTCAAACGTTAACCTTTATCTTTGAACACGAGTGTTTCATCATTCTTGAAATGTTACGTAATATTCAAAGTCAAATATTCATTCATATATTATGTGGAATAATTCAAAAATTTTAACTGAAATGCCCGTTTTTTTCTTTTAAAAGGGAACGACTATGTTAAATTTAAGTGTCATGGCCTATTTATAACATTGTCTGATTGATATAAATAAGTTTCGCGATCTATAGTTTTGCACATATATAGAAAATATTTAGTTTATGAATTAAATTAAGAACATTAGGATAAAATATTATTATTTCTGTTATGTATTTGCAGAATCTTTCCAAAGAAAGACATAACAAATTTCTTATTGGGAAGTGCTCTCTTAGGCACTGGTTCTTATATTTATACTCGTGATCACATGAAAAATGCACCTCCAAGTGTAAGAGTTTTATATAGGTAAGACTTCTTAATTTTAATACATTTGAATTCTGTAAATGCATCATATTACTAAATTCTCTTTTTATAATTTTTACAGTGCTGCAGGTGCTGTATTGCTAAGCTTTGGATCCATTTTAGTATGGGCAGTACTGCGAACCTTTTTGCCAGCTAATCCTACTCTGTGCACAATTGTTGGTATTGGTTCTGGACTTACATTTGTTAAGGTTGGTTCCAGTTATCTGAGCTTTGTTGATGGACAAATACCGAAGAAGTAGATCAAAGGAACTTTTGTAATCAGTGTATGATCATTGTGTACCAAATGCAACTAAACAAAAAATTTGCAATAATACCTTACAATATAGTGAATTACATTGAACCAAAGACAAAGAAAAAACATGTAACATGAAGCAAGGAATTCTTAAATATTTATAGATGTTTATATTTTCTATGACCTTGGCTCTATAAATGGCTGAACATTATGAACCAAATTGTGTTGAAAATAATTACAAACTGCTTTTATTTTCTCTCTATTAATTATTTTCAAGAGCTGACAATTATTAACTTAAAGGCTACATAAGGTAAAAGTCAAAATATTGTTATTGTATTTTACATGTAATGTGTAAACAATGAAATGTGGCTTTCTGGAATGCAAAATATACCTCACATTCTATATTAGTGTTATTGCAAATGCATATGAAATTATGACTTATATGTTAGAGTATGAAAAAAAAAGAAGAAAACTTTCTTCACAATTTGAAGTGTCTTTATAACATGACTGCATTTTTGAAGACATATATTATCTTCATCCAAGTAACTTATTAGCAGTAATGGTAGAGATGTGCAAATTTCTCAACAGTTTTAATAAATGTTGTACTAGTAATAAAATTAAAAGGATTTTGTGTCACAAGTATTGTATAAGTTGTATAGTTTCTAGTAATGAGCGTAAGTATAACACCTTAGAAACCAATTTTTGGACTTAATTTTGACTGAAGAAAGGTGTATGATTTACGAAAATATACGCGAGCACACACCACAACAGAAAATTGTATCATTTCTACAATAAATTCTGTTGCAAGTTTAAACTGGTACAGTTTATCAACATATTTTTTTACTTACTAACAAGAAAATGACAAACTTTTGTATTTTGTTATCAAATTCTTTTTTATTTCATTAGTAAATTTTGCAGTATACAAAATAGAATTGTGTATGATAATGTGTGTTGGTATTATTTGCTCAAAGATAATTATATATACAGGCCATTCATATCATGTGTTCATATAGTATCATTTACATGATATTGTGAGTAATGATAATAAATAATAAAGATGAACAATAAGTATTTAAGACACACAAAAACATGTTTGAGTAGTTTATGTTTGTGTGATCTTAGTCACAAACTTAATTGTACTATATGAAATTATTATGTATTACTAATTACTTTGTATACATATAATGTTAAAAACTATATATGTGACAAAATTGTGGAAACTTTGACAGGTACGAAATAATCGTCTAAAAGGCACACGCTACTTTGTTTCATGTGTTTAATTTATTACTTTATGTATATATTGTGAAAAATATAATTTATCTTTGAAAATTGATTCTTTGGTTTGGAAAAATAGAATTTGTATGTCATTGAAGTATCTTTATAAATAGCGGTGTACCTGTCACATTACCCCGATTCGCATACAAATGAACAAGATACATGATATTCCAAACATTTATAGAATGTGTAGTTCCCTATGTTTTAATGCGACTCCATTGTCTTCGCACGATACCATGGTATCATTCCTATTGACGCTCAACGTAAATAATCATGTAAAAAAAGGCGAGTACGTAACGGATATTGTAAATATCTAAAATTATTAAAACGCGATCAATCGTATATTAACGCGACATTCTGACATTTGCCCTTTCTAAATAGGAAAGAATCGATCTTTGATAATCCTAGAACATACTTCATTTCGTTACTATATCCTGCAATATGCATATTACGTGAGCACGCATTTAAATATTCGTACAAACGGTTAAGAAATATCTTTTTAGTTACAATATAAAAGATACCGTCTGATATGGATATTCCATATAGTTCATATTACATTAAAACAAAACAAAAAAATAAGTAACGCGATTTCAGGGTTATACTCGTGAATCGTATCACATTTGGCCGTTCAATATCAACGGTAATAGTTTGTTGGTGTTTCAGACACGTTCCCACCGTACTTTATAAATGCCCTAGTTCACCATCTGTGCTTGTACAAATGATGTGACACTTGCATAGTACGTACGGAACATGAATATTATTCTTCTTTCGTAGGTCGAACCATAAGTTTCACAATACTGTCCTTTCTTCGTCGAAACTTTTTTTTTACTTTCCTGTCTTTTTATGCTTCTCAAAGTAGTAAGTGAATTCTAAGAAGGAAAGGTTCAACATTGTCACGTTCAAATTCTGATAAAAAATCAGGTTTGTTTGGGACATAACAAGGTCGAATCTTACCTTATATGTAGCACGGTTGGTAGATCCTTTAAAGTAAGTGCCAATCAGAAGACATCCGTTCCATAACGGAATTATTGGCGCCTTAGTCAAAGGATTTACCCCCGTGCAAATGATCTTTAGCTTCGATTTGTATGCGATGCTGTCTCGTTATTACTACTTCTGAGGGTGGTGTCGGTTGGCGTCTTCATCGTCGAGGATAAAATGTTGCTGACTGCCTCTGCGATGTTTTTCGTCAGCCTATCAATCGTGTCTGTGAGTATTTGTTCGCCCGTTTTATTCATGTGCGTGTGCTCATGGGAGTCCAACTCGTGATCGTGGTCATCCTCGTGATGATGCTCCACCTTGTGGCCGAGCACGTGTGCATGACCGTCGGATGAATGTGAGTGAGAATGAGAGTGAGAATGCGCAGCTGTAAATAAAGGAAACAATGTTAAGATAAGTTTATTTTTTAAGCATTATCTTCTTGTTTATTAGACGTTTATAACGTTTTCGATGGACAACTCTTAGAAACAAGACAATTGCAACACAGTTGTTGCTGTTTGTGATTAGAGATAAATTGAAAAATGCCTTGTTATCTGAAACGTCGATAAGGTAGAAATTCCTAATGAGCAGGTGATAAAATCTAATCTGCTATTTGAAAATGATCCATAGTTAGAAAGATAACGTTGATCTTTTGTCGACATAAAATGTTCTTTATCGTTTCTTATACGAAATATTGAATATTTACGAAAGTTAAAACTATTTTGCACAAAGATTTTCGAGAAATATGTATTTAAAGATGTCGCATGTTACGGTAAGGGAGCTATCTACGAATTTCTACTAAATGGTAATGACAGATCCAGACGTGATGGATAGTTAAGAAAGCGGTCGAAAGTCGGTTGAATTATTCACTGTCCTACGTTGCAGGTCATTGCCATAGGTGGAGAAAGCCCATGAATAACCAGTTGTTTTTTTGTAGAGTATTGTTCTTCGTGAAAAATATTCCTTAGTTCCTCGTGACCATAATTAATCGTAATAAGTGAGTGAGAATTCTTATTGAGGTTATGATGCAATTTAACAAAAAAAAAGAAAAAAAAATGAAATCTGTTTCATTTAAAAGGAATATAACATAAATATGTATATGAATAATGAAAAAGAAATAAGACAACAAAAACTACAATATTAAAAAAAGTTAAGCTTAACGAGGTTAATGACTGACAATGTAAAATGGCCTATAAATTGTTTACGGGTTACTGAATATTATGCTTGTTTCTTCCTGAATCAAACAGTGTAACCTGTCGCTTCATCTCCTGTATACACCTTCACTGTCGATTGTATATCGTGAAATCAAATTACATAATGGGTGATACTTCCGTAAAACATAGTTGTTATTATGAATTTTTCACAGGTCTTGAGTCTAGACCTCTTAAGTAACTCGCCTGCTATTATTAAAGTGGATGGCAAACGCATTCCAAGCGCCTGATAAGTATGCATTCAGTCATGCACGGAAAGGAGACTACACCTGGCACATACATGTGCTGAAAATTTGCTATGTATTATGAAATGTGCAACTGTTGAAATACTTTGGAATCTTACTTAACATCCAACGGATCATTAACGACATTTCATAGTATTAAAAAAAAAGCATTAGTGATCTTATATCTCTCTTTAACATTTGTTATTGAATCGTCGATAATTTTTGACAGAAATGAAAAACGTTACTACGAAAGACAGATCGATCAATTGGCCTCCCGGTCGATTTCTTTCGATCGTTGACAGGCACCCTATCGCGCGTGCGCGCGTTTACGGGTATGTGCGTCTGTTATTCAAGAGTCCAGCAATGATCGAGTCGGTAATAATATCACGTACTTTTCGTGAATTAATAGGTTAATAGGTACATCCGAGTTTTATCTGGTGGCGTGCGTCGTGACGATTCCTCGCACGGCGGACAATGTTGCCGCGAAGCAGAAGTTCACTGCACGTTCGCCCGCCACCGTTATCAGAGTCATTAACCTAATTGCAATTGAGAGATGTCGTGTGCTGGAGCGTTGTCGTGCAACGGAAAAAATAAAGCCGGACACCGAGTGGAGAAAACGAGAAGTCTGTCTGAGAATTCGTGTAATCAGTCATGTAGACAGATTGAAATAGCCTATCTAAAGGGAACGTGAATGCAAACTACCCACATTACGCGTAAATCATCGAGCAAATGGTATGCAGTGACGAAACAACCTCACGTTTTTCTACTTAACGTCGTGGATTCTGATTTTTGTCAGACATATCTTAATTCCAGTCGATAACACATCTATCTCTGTTTGTAACAGTGTGTATTGAACAGCAAGTTAAATCTCGGTACACATTGACGATGAAATGATAAGAATTCAAAGACTAAAGCTATTCAATTTAAAGGCATCGATGAATCAACGTGGTCCTTCCTCGACGAGAGATTAAATATACGAAAAAAGAAGAAGGAACGATATAGGTTATATACAGTCTGATTTCTTAGAGTTTTCGTGGCCGTGACTTTTTAGACGTTGCTATTCGACTGCTCGCTGAATCAATAGGCAGACGTCGTTTCCACGTGCTACGAGAACACGTGGGTGGTGATTGCATCAAGGACGTACCGGCAATAGGTTTGCACCGACGTTGATAGATTCGGAAAACGGAGATGAAAGGCTGCCAAAACGATGGTTGATAGTAATGGACATTACGAGCAATTAACTTGACAACAGGGTTTAGCGAAGAAGAAGAGTTGGAGGAATTGAAATCAAATATTTCCGTATGTACAAGGTGGTACATACAAAATGGATCCCTTGACTGCAGGTCAATATGAAAACTTATTAAATACAATTATTTATTTTTGGTAACTTTTTATTACCAGTGAAAGAATTTATTTTTTTTTTTATTTCATTTAAACTTGGGACTTTCATGAAACAGATCAATTAAAAAAGAAGAAAGAAAAGAAGATATAAGTAACAGAAGAAATGCATAGATCTCTCAGGGATAATCAATTATGGTATTCTTTCACCATCAGATTCTGACAATGGATAATTGTACGACCTCGTCATTGATCAGACAGAAAGAGAAGGGGGAAAAAAGCGATGCCCACGGAAATCAGTTTCCGTAATTAAATATCAGCGCCCGACACGCTTCAACAACGGACGATCATCCGGGAAACACTCACTGGTGATTTGTAGGCCCAACATCAGCATGAACCCGACAATTATGGCGGTCAACTGTAAGAGCCCACTTTTCTCGTTAGCTCTCTCGCGTGCCAGCACCTCGAAGAAAACCACGTAGAGCAACGTTCCAGCTGCCATTCCTTGTAATATCGTTGGAGTAGGTCCAAGGTTCTCACTATCATTTTTAAAATGACCAAGAGCCAATCCAACGGCAATTCCAATCGGTGTGACCATTGAAAATATCGTCAGGTAGCCAAGGGTAGTCCTGGTGGTGGCTCCAGCGACGTACAGTTCCATTCCAACGCAGAAAGAGATCACCAATTTGTGTGTAGCTATGGCAGCGGCTAGATAAACTACAGAACCAATGGATGGTTCTAGACCAACTGCTAAACCTTCGAAAATAGCGTGAAAGGATAAAGCTAAGACCGTCAAGAGTCCCTGTATTGAAGTATTCTTTGTCATAACTGTATGTTTGTGTTCATGATGCTTCAGTTTAGGATAATGATTCAATTCTGCATCAGACGGGTGTCTCATATTATTCTGAGGGCTGTGTTCAGTGGAAGACAGTCCTGTAGGCGAAGATAGAACGAATATTGCTGGTAACATCTTATCTGGTTTGCCATCATGAATATCTTCCAGGTCTTGCTGTATGGATCGTTTGTTCAGATCATTCTCGCTGTCCTCCAGATCGTCGTTACCCTCCTTCCAAGTGGACCTGATCGTAGTGGACATCGTGGTTGTTGAGCCGGTCGATACAGTCGTTGATGCACCTGTCTGATTGTTGCATCTACGCACGGACACTGTCCTATAGAGGAGCGCCTCCGATGACTCGGGTTTTCCCGTCAGCGCTGCGTGCACCGCCTCCTCAACGAAGTAGACGAGGAAGAATCCGGCACAGAACAACAGCTCAGACAGGCTGAGCGTGCCCAACGTCGGTAACTGACCGTTCGTTTGATGCCTTTCCACGCTGATGCGGACCTCCGGGGCTAGGTGCAGGAAGGTGGTGAACAGGAGTACTCCTCCGCCAAAACAGAGCAGCAACGACGTGTGCAAGCCCTGGGGATTACACGTTATCCTCTAATTTGTTGAACGTCTCACGTTGATAGTTATTAGGACAGTTGTTGTGTAGGGTTTGATAAGGTTGTCTCTGATTTAATCAATATTAAATCAGCTTGCAAGGGTTAATTTTTTGTTGAGGGATTTGGAGGAATGACTGTTGGACGCTCGACGAAGTTTGTTTAATCCTCTACTGATGGGATCATAAGATAAAATAAAAGTAAAAACAAAAGTAAAGAACGTGTAAGAGAAAATTACTGCTTGCTAAGACTTTCTAAACTAGAGACAATACGAGGGAACAATTTAAACTGTCTTACTGAAGTTTCTTCACTGTACTCAGTGTACAATAACTTATACTTTGTTCCCTCAGTTGAGGATTAAATTATTAAACGTTTCTAATAATTTATCACTGAAGTACCGAGACAATTTCATACATTCGGAACGTACTTGTGAATCCGCTGCAGATCTCGAGATAGCGCTGGAGGAGGACGCGTTCGAGACCGAGGTGGATGTACAGGTACTGGAATTGTTGGAAATTCCGTGGTGCCGTTTTTGACGATGATTCATCCTGTAACGTCCGATAATCAACGGCAATATTCCCAGGAGCAGGGAGCCGAAGCCGAGACCAATCATCGCTCCAATCTTTGCTACCAATAGAACCGTAGACGTCGTTGCTTCCTCCATCTCTATTTCCCCTCTCTATTGCTCAACGGCAAAAGGTAAATTCCAATTCAAAGAGGACTTCCTTTCAATTTCTCTTATTCTCCAAGGCAAACGATAAACGTTGACGTTCGTTCAACGTTCAGATTCTTCTTTCTTGATATCTTTTCTGATTACCACTTCACTGTGTCCTTGTTCCTTACATCATCCTCAATTACCATCTCGTACACCAAGCTCCTGGTGTCTCAAACTATTCTTCTCTGTCCAAGCAGCCAATCCACCAAGGATATCCTCACTTTTTCACTTAACACACGCACCAGCGAACGCCGTCCAAATAGCAAGACCATCAGGATATCTTCAGTGTCAAATAAAACAAAATCAAGCTTCTCTCTCACACTACAACATCCTATCATTTCAAATTCATCGCATCCCTATCAAGAAGAACATCCTACAACTCTGCCTATCTACCTTCTCCACCAGCTGAGATCAAACTAAAAAACCTACAAATACACTCTGTATTCTTATACAGAGGAATACGTCTCTAAATTCACTCTATATTATTTCATTAAAAGCAATTAATATCTCTATGTTTCAACGTCGCAACACAATGAAATTTCCACGGGAAATCGCGTGTCCCGGATCCAGGCTGATGCTCTTGCCTCGTGTCGCAACGCTCAACTTTTCTCTTTGAAAGTGCGAATGGACGAGGCGTTTTGTTACGAAACGTCGTTTCCACCGCTACGTGTACTTTGGATTTCGCGATGTATTCTCTGCTTCTGCGAAGCACAAGGAAGATTCATGGGAACGAGAAGCGTTCAAGTTAGCACGAGCGAGCGACAGCCGGGTCCACGCGGTTCGACGGTGAATCGGACACTCCAGGGCTGGTTGGCCACTCGACTCGCAATCCCCTCGCGTCTTACGTAGCGCACCGTTTCCTGCTCTCTTCCCCTTCCAACCAGCCGATCGTTTCCCCAACCAAGCCCATGATGCTCTTCTCTCTCTCCTTCCTCCGTTGTATATTGCCGCTATCGCTGTGTGCTCGTTGCGTGTCGCAGCCGGTGTGTATGTAAATAGTCCTCGCAGGTACATGAACTCGATGTGTCTGTTGGTAACCCGATGGCAAACGCGGTTCGCGGATACCGTTTTGTGAATGTAACCGATGGAAGAAGTATAGTTGAGGACGGGTCAGGTGTCAAAACAAATATGTATATGTTTCGAGCATTTGAACTGGAGATTGACAGAATTCTGGGAAAATAAGAACCTGAAATCTTAGACAGTGGTGTAGTATCTCGTATTTCACAACAGTTGCTGTGTATTCTAGTTTCGAAGAAAAAGTTTATGAAAAGAGAAAATATCAAATATATTACAATGAAATTTCAAGAAAGTTGTCATTGGTGAAAGTGTATATTATCAACGAGGAAAAAAAATGTGATTAGATTATACACGGAGCATTGTATTTGAATTTACGACCTTGTTACATTTCTTCCACCGACTACACATATACCGAGGTCCGCGAAGGAGAATGAATGATTGACAAGCATCGCGTGCTTGAGGTGTCTGTGGCAGGAAGGCAATTGTTGCCTTCATTGATCGGTGGATCGATCGGCCGCGATGCTGAGTGTGCTTGGCACCTTTAGAGAAGCTGGGAAATACTGGATAGCGGTGTTGGATTGAAGGTGAACTTAATTAGTAGTTTTAGGTAATTATTTGGTCACGTTTAAAGGGATAGGGATTAAGAATTATTTTTTCTTTTTTTTTTTTTTAGATAGTAATTTACAATGTTTGATTCATGAAGTGTTAAATTTTTAGTTTGGAAATATAAGGATCAGGAAAAGAGAGAACTATAAATGATAAATAGCAGAAATATTTTTTGTACTATGTAGGTTTTATAATTTATTCAACTTGCAAATTTTGCAACTCGTGTTACTTTCAAACTGGAAGCAAATATTTCACGTCCTTTGGTCATAAAAATGGCGAAACTATTTAACTAGGAATCGATTCAGGTTGGAATCTCTGGGGATAGTCTTTTTATAGCAGTTAAATCAATTCTAATTCGATCAGGTTTGCAACGTAAACGTCCATGTCGACCATGAATTAGGCATGCTGGTACGTAAATGGATGAAGCTGGTCGCATGGGGAAAGGCGTCTCGATAATAGCAATGCGGAGTTGAATCATTGGCGCAGAAAAAGCTACTGTTTCGCCACGCGGATTATATACCTCTATATTACGCTTGTATTTACACACGTGAATTTTCTGATAGTTTTACGTTTAATCAAATGGAAATTTAATATCGACGATAAATTATTCGACTATCGTTTAATTAATCGTGCAACGCGTTATTTTATTGCAATTGATAGTTTCATAATCTCTATCGTTAATTTTGAAGTACGTGTAAGCCAGGAAGCTTATTTTCATACTGATAATAATGATTACTAGGATTACCAGTTCCATTGTTATTACTAAATAGGCATTAAAATAATTTAAATGTAATTTCAAAATTAATCTGAAAATTAACCTTAACACGAAACTTCTTTGAAATAACTTTCACATGTTTTCTCCCTTTCAACAGCAACGACATCTCGAACATTGACCTCAATGCGTCAGCTTCTTACTCTATTAAATTTAAATTGTGCGCTCAAGCGGCCGATAACTGACTATTGACCACACTGGCAATCGATAAGTGTCAAACGAAGCGATAGTTTCGGCTCTTGCAATTGTGGTGCCGTTCACGACCCCCACATTCGTAATCACGTAATTTACTTTAATTTATTGTTACATGGACTAGATAACCGTAAGGCAACGATGTTTACAGAGGAAAGCTTTGATCACTGGTCGAAGCCTTTAATTACCAGATCAGTCAGTTTCTTTTATTGCACGCTAGATTCATTGCTTATTACGGTTAAAATGTTTCTCGTATTGTTGCGGCAAACGTTTATGAAAAGTCTCTAATCGAGGAACGATAATTTCAACTTTGCGCCTAACCTTCGACTGTTTGCATTGAACTCGACTACACGGAATTTTCAATTGTGTACTAGAGTTTGTCCTAGGGATACTCTTAAGTTTTAGCTGAGAAGAAATTTTATACTCACTGATTATCTGCAGGGCAAACATCACGACGAACCCAAAGAGAATCGATAAGTATTGAAGGAGACCGCTTCTATGCTCGCGGAGAATCTCGAAGAATACCACGTATAATAACGTGCCAGATGCTAAACCCTATTACATATACAATACACATTAGTTTTCATTTACTACACTTAATTTTTATTGTAACACTTAAGTATTTTTTAAACATCAACTTAGAGAAGTATAGAAATTTGAAATAAAAAAGGGCGATGGTACCTGCAGTAATACAGGAACTATGCCATTGGTGGCGGCGCTTTCCCCACCAACTAGAAACATTCCTATACCGATCCCTAAAGGAGAAACGACCGCGAATGTGCAGACATAGATCACCGAAAGATACCTCCTAGTTTTGGAGGCTATTAGCTCCACGCCAATGCAAAATGCTATCACGAATTTGTGTGCCGCCACTGCCACAAACATGTACCTGGAAGCGAAATCAATATATTATCAGTTTCCTTGAATACTAAATATGTTATGTACGAAATTATTCGACGCCTATTATCAGTTTAAATATTTCAATATGAGAAGAGAGTTTGTGCTACGTAAGGAAAACAAGATAATGTTGAATGTTCAGCCTTTTGTTAAGCAAGAGACAATAGATTGTTGGACTGGTAACTTTTATTATCTGGCAAAGTTTCAATTCGCATAGTTTTGTTGTGTTTATTTAACAAATCAAAGAGCTAAGATCAATCTAATTCTTCGAAAAAAAATTATTTCAGAAATTAGATTCTGTTGGGTATTTGCACAAGTTTTGCTTTCATTTTTTTTATGTAAATTTCACTAATATCAATTCAATTTAAGATGATTTTGAAAAATGTGAATATTGTGTTTTTGTCTATGTCTGTACATAGTCAAATCACGTTTTACCGTTTATCAGAAAACAAACATACCAAACGTAAGAGGCTGAACTTTCTAGCCCGATAGCGAGTCCTTCAAATAATTCATGCACGGATAAACCCAAAACTATTAATAATCCTCGTAGAGAGCTTATTATGAACTCATTTTTCTCATCCATTATAACTGGTAAGTGATGCGAATGGCCGTGGCCGTTACTGCAACAATGAATATATTTTCATTCCCTGTAATTTGCATACTACATACTCATAACACCCGGTTAAAGAATATCCTCTTTCTTACTAGTGTGAACGTCCGCTGGCGCAATTTGGCGGTGTTTTTCCATCTTCAACCAATTCATTGGTGCTCCTACTAACGTCCTTGTTCGAACTTTCTTCTCTATTGACCTTCCTCGCTCTAATATACGTGTGCACTGATTCTTCCACCAAATACATGATAAAGAACCTATAGAAATATGTGAATTAATAAATTTTAGCCTTAAATTATATATTTTATTGTATGCTTTTTACGTTTCTTGTATTATTATGCAATTTACCCGGTACAAAGAAACATCTCGGCCAATGAGAAAGAAAGTTCAGGAAGTTTGCCTTCTTCCGTCAGATGTTCGACCCCTTCCTTCACTTCCGGCAGTAGATGAAGAAACGTCGTACAGAATAGAACTCCACCGCCAAATCCCAGAAGCACGCTGACCAGTTTTATTGACCTACCGCAAGGAAGTTAGTTTTTAACATGACTCTAATTTATCGACATGTTTCTTCGACTCTTACGTCATGGGGGTTATCTTTTTAATTATTGCACACATGAAACTATGTATGTACCTTATAATCATCGTACTGATAATAAAATCCGCAAATCCTGAAGTCTAAGGTGTTTACTTTCGATGTATGTAACGTGACCAACATTTAAGTAGGTTATCAGTTTTCTAAATTCATGTCTGCATTGAAGTACATATAATTGTAGGTAAATAATTTCAGGCATTTAAATAATCGCGTAAAAACGTGGAAAATGTTTGACAGGTGGAGATAAAAATTAAATATTGTTTTTGTTTTTTTTAGTTATGTCAGGGGGAAACATCGATACCTAGGATTCTCAACATCGGTGGTGTTCCATTTCAAGCACTTTGCCAGTTGCATCGGTAGAATGCCCATGCAAATGCTTACTGTGCACAAGATGACCATAGTGACCCCCTTCGCGATCAGTACGCTCGACGTATTCCCATCATCGTGATGATGTTCCTCCTCTTCCTTCTCGTGATACGACTGTATGGTGGTTAGGAGTCTATCCATAAGCGAGCTATCTTTTAACAGAGACATCTTTCCCCTTATCGACAGTCGAGATGTTCTGAAAACAATGGATACAAATGTAATTTACATACGATTATCCATAGAGCTAACATTTTCTAATACGTTAACTTCAAACGTAAGTCAGTACCCTATGGTGGTCAATGTCTTCTTACAAGATTGACAATATTTAAAACGTAATAAATTGAAGAAAAGATTAGATTAATTTTTTTTTTCTCTCATTAAAACATTACGCAGGAATGAATTTTTAAATAATAAATGGCGAAATATTCGTCGCTGGAGCACTAACCGTCTTGTACGTCGGTAATGTAACGTACAACATATTTAAAAATAATTCACAGATTTTTAACTATTTTCTACATCCATTTTCCGTTGTCACTGTTTCTTTTTTTATCGAATTGTACAATGTCCACGATTTTTCGATTATATTTAGAAACATATTTATTTCAGTTAGTAGTAGTTTGTCAGAAAACGAAGATTTCTTTTTTATCAGAACAAGATCTGATATAGTGCTTTATCATTCGATCTAAGTCTTTATTTTATCGACAGTTACAATATTCCCTAATATGTGTTGAAAATAATACGAATATAACTGAAGCTTTGTTTGACGAGCACTCATTTCATAGGAACACTATACATAAATATTTTACCTCTAAGGAAGCGACGTATTGAGTTCACAACGATATCGCCTACAGTACTCATTATATTGCTTTTTTGTAAAAAATTTGAATTTAAATAAAAAATATTCCAGTTTTTTACGACCATTATTATAATGGCAAAGTATCCATTTATGCCTTGATTCGCAAACGGAAGAGGAAGACAAATTAATCGCGGCCATAAAATGTTGAAAATACACGTGAATGTTGAGTACCAAGGTATCGAATCATGTGCCATTAAGTACCACTTGAAACTGCTGCTTATAATTCGATATGGGTGTAAGCATTTCGTATTCTAGGTAAATACATCGATTGTGGAATACTTCAGGCTATACTGAACTATAGCTACTAAATTTTAAATGACAATTGCAACAATTTTCTACCATTATTCGTTTCTTTTTCTAAAAGAAAAGAATGTTATGTGAGCGAATAATACGAACGTATAGTAATTTCATCATCGCTCTTGGTGTTTTGTTACATGATACAGAATTGTGCAAATGCAATAAAAACCTTCTTTACACGGACAATTATTGAATTTTCACCACTATTAACTAAAATCAACAAAACTTCAATTACTCTCTAATATCAAGGTACAATGCACTTCACAACATGACTTTCTACTTTATGAAATTTTCTAAGGTAAGTAACATAAACAGGTTTTACTCAGCCGCTTTAGTAGTTTACTTAAAATCGTCCTTACCAACTCATCGATTCGAAATTTAGCCTATTTAGCTCTTATCCAGCTGGGATCACTTCAGGTGTTTGGTATGACCGTTAGAGTCGACGTACTAATAATCATCTAACTTTCTCAACTGGGCATATATATATATAGATAGCGCTGCGATATCAAACTAGTTTTCTTGTCTGATCGCTCAGAATCTTGAGATTAAGATATTCACCGATGAAAGATCTACATACATATGCTAGTTTGCGTAAACATTTTCTTGGATATAATGTATTTATCTGATTCATTGTGTTGATTGTGCTTTGTACTTTGTACTTTGATTGTTACACGATTTGCGGGACATCCGTTTTCGATAAAGACTACTTTTGAAAAGCCACTTATTTGTCATTGAATTCTGGTAATCAGTCGACAAAATACTGTTATCGTGCATATTAGTCTCCAGGGGATCTATGGAGCCTTTCGATACAGACAATCTTCTGTATTTCGCATGTGCTTCTGGCGCTATTACTCGCCGTGGATGAAAGTGCAACTGTTTTTTACGTTTTCCAGTTTAAAATAAAGAACGGAATAGTTTCTTTCAGAAGAAAGATTGCTTTCCTCCGAAATTGAAATTTCTCAGGATACAATAGTACTACACTTGGGATATTTCGCTTTCAACCAAAAGCAATCGGTAAGAATGGTCGTTAAACGCGGGAATCACGCAAACGAGAGCCAAGAACGGATGGTACTACATAGTACCGGAGTACTTGAGAAGCAGTGAAAGTGCAGTCTCCACGCTCCTTTGGCAAAACAAAGAAGAAAGAAAAGACTTTTGCGTTTACCCAAGGTAAACTGCAACGTCTGAACTGATTGTGACCGATTGATCATAACCTTTTTTTTATCGTTCGATTCCAATGATCCTTGTCAAAGTTCGACATTCACCGCATCGTTACACTGAAGCAAAAGAAATTAGGATTCTGCATCTCATCAATGTTGCAACACGGTGTACATTTTATTATTGAGTTGCTGGAAATTTTCTAGCGGATTTTACACGTTGCAGATAATTGCTGCACCATAAATAATTTTACGATCATTTTGCAAGGATATTAACTTTCTACTTTAAAAAGAAAATGTAAAATAACATGAAACTTATCTTTTTTTTATTTGTAACGTTTCGTATTATTTTTTTACCTTCGAAAACAATTCCAACGTAGTGCTCTCGCCAACTTATCATTATATTGTCAATATTTGCATTCGTCAGTCGGATACCTATTTTTTTATCGTTATGTACCTTGCCAACGCACATGTGTTTTCCACTTGTTAATTTCTATCGCTTATTGACCGTACGCGTTGGCATAACTTGTAATTACCATCATCAAGTATCAGGAAAATGTTATTTTCAAACATCCAATGACAAAGAAAAAGAACAATGAGTGATGAAAATAGTTTTTTGAACAATCTAGCCGGTAAATACGAGATTTTCCACGATGACCGTCACGATTACGTCTGACTCTCGGTAATGCACACATAACGAGTTTTCTATGAGAATCTAAAAGAATCTGGCGATCTCTCAAGTGTGCATCAGTCGAAAATAGTTTTTCGATTTATTTTAGTCAACACGTACTCGAAAATATATTTAATCGATCCCGTTTACAGATTTTTGTGCTTACATGGTGCGTGTTTCGACAATTCAAGAGAACTAGGATCGTCGGTTGGTCGGTCAGTCAGTGTCCACTCTACATGTATCCGCGAAACCAGTTTCAGCCGGCATAATCGTCCAAAAAGCCCGCTGGAGTAATAACGAGTTCCAACCTTTTTTCCTAGTAATTTGTACTTTCGACAATCCCTCTTTCAGTGGTTTGTTGCACGTAGCCGTTTTGTAGTTAACTGATTCAAGTAGAAACGCCTTTCTAATGTTATTTTTTCTTTCAAATCATTCACCAGTATTTATGTATTGTTAAAGGAGCTTAATTAAATTGCAGTGTTGTTTGAACGTTCACAGTGCACACCGGATATTTTTTTAAACTATTGCCGAGCTTCAGGATCGAATTGCGAGGGGTCCGTTAATTGGTTGTAAAAGAGAGGAATGATAGACACGAACGACTGCGATGGAGGGAGTAGCTTGAGAAACTATAGCTCGAACGAAATCGATTTACCGACCGAGGTCGTTTCTCCCACTATAAGTTATGTCAACCTTCACTTTTATCATTTTACCATGTGCGTTTTCTTAGACGTAATTTAAGGGAGTCAATGATTTCTTTTTAAGTAGTGTATTTCATATTATAAAGTGTGTTCTATAAATGGTACAGCCGTGAATGTGAGTGGGGTGATGTTGCATGAAAAAATAAACCGAAAATATAGAATAAAATCTTTTTAAAGGCCAACCTTTACGGTTGAAACATTCTGTATACATATTAGGCAAATGTAAAGGATGTATACGAGTATTACAGTTGGAGTTATCCATTTGTGACCTTGACTAATCAACTAATTCGAATCAGACTGTAACTTCAGTAGAAAATTGTTAAAACGCTGATACGATTTTTTCCAAAGATTTGAAAGCAACTGTAAAAATGATCTAACGACGTTGAATATAGTAAAGTATATTTCCACTTGAACTGTTCTCGAGGTTCGTGGCAACGTTCACGGTCTATCATCTATACGTTGGCGTGTTCCAATGAAAATCGCGCGCGGTTTGTTATTGAGCATTGTTGAACTGTTTCATCAGAGGGCCAGTTGTTGCAATCAAGATAACTGATCGTACGAGTAAGTTTTAATAGCTGTAAGTAATTGATGTTCGATGCTGTGCAATCAGAGGTTTATGCTGTTAGACAAGATGATGCCACTGTTTTCTTTTTCTATGAAAGTATAGTGTATACCGTATCGCGATAGTTCTTGCAGATATATATATTCAAAGTGTAACGCTCCCGATGTTTACAGTGACGGTGACTAATTATCACGTGCGAATTCTTGCAATTATCGTTATTTGAGAAACGTCAAGTGTCGTTCTAGAAGATGCATATCGGTTTTAGAGGAGATTTCTTGCCAATGATTAAACATTTTATAGAAACATGATTTTAATATTTTCAGCATGGGGCGATTTTCAGTGTTCTATCTGAAGCGCGGGAATCTTTTTTATTATCGTATTTTCGTTACTTATTACTCCCTAACAGTGTTAGAGATCACATTTTATAATGAAACAAATTTTGGAATTATTTTTTTTATTATATTTTTCTTTCGTCCGGCTTGCGATCGTATTAGGGGAGAGCGGGGTAATTCCGGCTACATAAACAAGAAATGCTATAAAATTCGAACAAGTTACACATTTGTTAATTTTTTTATATTAATTGATAGCTTGAAGTGTCTAGTTTGTATTAGTACAATCCAGAAGGCATAAATTTACGTTGTAATAAAGTTAGAAACATAAAACGAAGAAAGGTCATTTGACTGGTGAGTTTTCTTTATAAAAGAGGTAAGAAAACTGTTAAATTAATAAAAAATTTGTATTATTTTTTGTTTTAAAATTAAAACAGCAGTGGTTTCACTTGTGTTGTTAACTGGATTTTTTGGTTTTCTTCCAATTTTTGTAGCAATATTAGAACCTAGAAATATTTTAATTTGGCAAACCATAACCTAAAATAATGTAAATATGATAAAACTGATAATTACTGTAAATGTAATGTAAATACAAACTACCTTCTTCAATTCTTTGCAATGTTAAAAGCTAGTTGGAATTACCCCACACCTTGTGTTCAGATATTTGAAGTAATACACTGAATTGAATTTACATATCACAAAAAACTAAATGTGACTTCGAAAGTAGAAACTATATAACAGATAATTTATGTCGATTCCAGATACTAATTTAAATTACTTGAAAATTGGCCACTGTTACAAGGTTACGTTGTAAAATGAACATTCAGGTATTGTTTAAAATAAAAGGCTGCTACAGTCACAGAAACGATGAATATTAACTAGCCGCGTCATTGCCAAGTGGCAGTACCATACAAAGTCAAATATACGCGTTTTTCATTTTAAGAAATTAAAGTGGCCGGAATTTCCCCGCTTTCCCCTACATCATCCGTAGTGAAAGCGTGAAATGAATTTTCCTAACCTAGAAAATTTTATAGAAAAGTATGTCACACGTCACTTCCAATTCTATCGGAAATTAACACCGAAGCAATTGAAGCAATCTTCTATTACATTGTTACAGAATCCAGTAGAAGAAATCACACAGTATACTTTGTCAAACACAGTCCAATTGAACGCACCAGGTACACTGTTGTATCAATGAATTTCAACACACATTTATCAAACGTAATATGTACCCTTGATAATTAACGAGCGATCTTCAGTTGTGTCGCGAGGTAAACTTCTGCGGAGGATAACATGAATCGCACTTGCAAGAGTCGCGGCGAACTACAGCACACTGAGTCGGATGCGTGAATAACAGCGTTGCACGGGAGAGAGTAAGCAGAGAAGCGGTGGAGGAGATCTTCATACCTGTTTATCGGGATTCCCCGGTGTGTTCACGCCCCTCTTCAGGGGATTTCTGCGGCCGGGTTAAATCGGACGATCCACCCTGGTCACGCGTGAGGACGTGATGTATTCATAAATAGCGTACTGTACGCCAAGAATCTACTCAATGACCGATCAGAGTTAACAGGGGAAAATGTTATGTCAGACTAGAGAGGTCTGACCTAAGAAGTTGGCCGGTTCAGGGAAAGATCAAAGGGGTTGCATACACGTAGAATGTCCACAAATATCTTTGTAATTAGATTTTCTTTTTTTGTTTTATGGAGAAAGGAAATACTTTTTTTAAGTGAACTTTTTTTATAGGGGGTATACTTGGATTTCAGCATTTCACAAATTTTATCGAAAGATAGAGATATGGTTGTTTTTATAAATTGAGAATTTTTTCGAGGTAGTATTAACGTATTGGTAAAAAAAAACATTGTGTAGTGTGTTAAATTTCAATTTTATTCCTTTTTTTAGCTTCCAGGATAAACATGTTTATCTCTAAACCACGATTCTTTGAATAAAAAAATTGCGCATCTTTTTTTATTCGGCCAATTATGCAGTTCCTCAAGGTGACTGCTAATCAGTTGGTTACAGTCACGGTTTTACCGTTTTCGATTCGTTCTTTTCCTCCTCCATAAATCTTCTACCACTTTTAACTTAAAAAAGATAAACCGTGTTTAATTTTGACATGCATGATGTATAAGTTGAAATAATCGATGTGGTGGTCGTTAGAGCATATCTTATACTTCGATTAGTGAATGTTAGTGAAGGGGGGATTCGTGCAACATGCATCGTATTTTCTTCACGTTTAAACGGAAACTTACAAATGCTTATTTTTTCCCCAGGTGCGTCACTGTCATGACTAATCGTCGGAACAATTGGAGAACACTGAATACCAGCATTTTTAAGACCGGATTCTCTATCAGCCCTCGTTCAAAGATACCATAGTTAAGACTCCAACCACTTACTTCAGCTCTAACTAACCTAAAATTCAATTCTGCGAAATAGATGAATGTAAAGACGTAGAGTGTTCAGAAAAAACATGTCGGAAATACAAAGGAGATTTAACTAAAGAATAAACGTTGAAAAGGTTCATTGTAAAGTATGCAAATTGGAACGCATAGCTCTGTGAGAAGTTCTACTTTCAGGTACTCTGATCAATTGCACTATAGTCACAAACAAATTCTTCATCTTTCTATTTTTTTATTCAAATTATTTCTGGTTTACAGAATATTATAAACAATCAAGGTTAACGAAAAAGAAAATTGGTTTCAGAAATAATAAAAGTAGTGATAAACTTCAACTTGAATTGCGTGGACGATTTTAACCGAAAATAAATGAAAAGTGAAATGGGTAACATAGTATACGCGTGAGAATAAAACAATCTATCCGTAATTGTAAAACACCGTCGCTTCTCCTTTAGCAATTTAGCACGAAGAATTTCCTTGGTGATGCAGATCTACAGATTCGTCGTCGTCTGGTCGTCTCCGTAGTTGACTCGTATTATCGTTTTCGCACGCCTAGCCGCTTGTGACCTGTAGTTCTGCTAGTTGAAACAAGCGTGTGTACGGTTGACACGCAGGGAATGCTATATTACGCTTCTGGGCGAAGGAAAAGAAAAGGAGAAAGATGTTAAAAGAAGTGAAAAACTGTGTACCTATTGATTGTAAAAATATCTCCTCTAATCTAATCTTCAAATTTACGATTATTTCAGTGCTTAATCATAGTTTATAGATAATAATACATAGTACTTAGATTTAAAAAAAATCTTATTTCTGGGCTTAATGAATTCAAGCATCGTCTTCGGTGCTACTAATACGATGACTATTTTCTTGTACATTCTTTTATGTAATGCGAAAAAGTAAGAATGGCACTTCTTCGTTGGTAGACTTACGAACGAAAAATTTCCATTCTAACTTGGCTGATTATTTAACAAGGGAATTACGAATCCATCAGAAGATTGTTTTCAGATTATCGGTAATGAGGGGAATCCATTTATTCGAATAGTTCTTCGCCCACACTTTCCATTCGTTAATCTCATCGTGGTGGTGGTGACCGACGTCAAACAAAATCTATGACGCTTCGAACACACCTTGCGTAAATAGCAAAGAATTTTCCTTGTAGAGGTCATCGCACAAGGAAGTGAACGGAAACTCGGTCCCTCGATCTAGCTCGATAGAAATTGCATTTGAAAAGGGGACAGAGAAAGCGGAAGGCAGAAATGTTGCACGATCTCTCAAATTGTGTCGATTCATGTAAACTGTGGCTCTTCTAAACGTTTTAAACGTTTTTCTTCATTTACGTTTGAACATAACGAAGTTAAAGAGGATTTAGTAGCAGCATGATGTTTGAGAATATTATCCAAGCAGATCTTCATGGAAATTGCATTAGAAAATTACCACTCGTTAAATTGATAGCGATTTTATTGGCTGTAATATATGAGAGATTTAGGTTTCCCGATGTGAATTATATGTTTTTTTCTTTTTGTGTATTAGCTCTTTAGATGTTTCAGTATTAAAGTATGATTTTAACGGAATCCCATACATGAAGTGTGTAGCAATACAAATGGTATTGGAAAGTAAAATAGAAGAGAATGAAAGAAAAATGTGGTACGTGTGAACATTTTTCATACGAATAACGATATTGGTACTGCTAGAAACTGAAGAAGGATTGGTAAGTCGTTAAATGCCAAGGATAAAGGGGATTACACGCTTTTCCTCCTATTCCTTAGACGTTACAGTGAGAAAGTGATATTAAGCGAATTGTACCTGCGAGAAGAACAGGATTGTTAAAGTTTAGTAGAGAAATTAAAATAGACTAATAATTAATGAGACGAAGATGGATTTCGCGTTTATTCTATTCATTGAACAGACAAATAACAGAAAGGATTTTTTCAGAGAACGTGAAGCGGAAGAAATACCACAGTTGTAAAAAAAAGAATTTAATACGCAATGTTCCTTGTTCATATTTGTACGAATTTCCACGAAAGAAACAGTCGTGAAACTTCTATGCCGACGTAAAATAAGGAATTAGTTTTTTGTGCATTGAGGCACACCACGATCTTAACGCCTGTGACTTGTTGAGGTCAATGATCTTTACGTAAGTTGTAATTCTGAAAATCAATCTACAGTACCGTTTTTCCATTTTATTAAGTGTTTAGGGAAAATAATCAATTTTTTGCCCTTAAACTATATGCAATGTTAACTGCAAGTTTATTTTACAATATTATAGAATTTCTTTTTCACGATAGCACTGAGAATTTACCACGGAACAGTAACAAAATCAACGAGAATGTTTGTAGATAACATTTGCACTGCATGTTTTATTTTACCGACAGTAATTCACTACATGTTAACATAGGTGTCACTACGTTACTGCTATTGTGAAGAGTTTTCTTATACAGCAACTTTTGTTTGATAAATACAGATTGCATTGTTTCAAAACACAACAATTAATATTTATGTAAGTTGCATGGACAGTTATTCTGGTCAAGCCAGAGCTATTATCTCCTTTTCTTTGTGTCTAAAAATACGCTAAACGTAAAATAATTTAAAATTCCAAAACGTGACAGAATGATATATATTTCAATAACTTTCAAAGATAATCATTCAAAATACGAAGTAAATATTCATAATATTTTACTAGGTCGAGATAATGATTACATTTCAAATTCAAAAATTCAATATATCGAAACATGGATTTGTTCAAATTTTAACAATTTTAATACCCTTTTTTTTAAATAAACGAATTTGTGAGGAAACAGTCCATGGTGTTTCTCACTTTTAAATTTGTTACCACCTGTTACCACCACGCGATAATAATCGCGGTTAAATTCTCGTGGCCCGATTCGCCAGGTGATTGCCATTTGCCGCGTGGCATTTCCGAAAACGCACGAAAATTGTCGATTGGACGAAGCTGACGCAGTGAAGCGCCAGTTGCATGTCGGACTTCGTTCCGGTAGTATCGTTGCTGTTGTTCTTCGGGTCGGTGAGTAATTTTGTTCTAACACATGCGTTCTCATCGGGTATACCCGCTAATTTCTTTGTAAAACATACTTCTTGAGTTAAAAGAACTCGACATCTTTTGCATTCACTTCCGTCATCTTGTATCTACTAATATGTTGTTTATTCTCGATATTAATTATTAAAACCTGTTCTCTTGTCAAGTATATATAACTTCGACACGTTGAAGCAGTCATAAATATCGTAATTTATGCCATTTTTGTGGTTAACGTTTATTGGTTACCGTGTGCAATATCCAATTCTTTTCTTCTGTGGAACTTCAACTTCTGCGTTGGTTTCTTAAGTTGATGTGTGTATACTACTTACAATTAGATACAGACCCGGTGATTGTATCGAATCATTATGCAATTCGAGAAGGTGATACGGGCTCAGTAGCGTTCAGAAAGTTAGATAGAGAGTGATAGAACTAGTGTGTGAACGTTCGATCCTTACGGTGAAAGAACACGCGTCGCGTTTACGCTGTTTTGTTGATTTAATATCGATTTTGAAATCGATCGATGTCATCGATCGTCCGTGTTGCGTCCACATATGACGCACGTGTTTATGTTTACATATAAACTACGTGTCAAATATATATTGAGGAATTAAAGAAGATGTAGAAAATCAGCAGTATAACATTTTTTGTATACTATATTCTTTTTATTCATGTTTTCGGTAATATTATCATTTGTTATTGTTTTTAAATTAATTCAATTTTTTTATATCCAACAAAAAAAATTCTGTGAAATTTGTAATTTCATGTTTTCTAGTAATTGACGAATACCGATATTTATTAACTCGAGCGGATCCAAGCATAAAAACTCGTGCTATTTAAATTGTTTCTTTTGTCTTGTTACTTCGGTTTTTCCGTGAAAATAATTAAGGGTAGATAACGGTGGTTACGTACGCAAAGTGCTGACACAAATATGATGTATTAAGGTCTCTTCAAACACATGCATTCGTGCTTTCCAGCAAGATAAATTTCTTATATTGAAACTACTATTTCTTTAACGGTTAATCGAGTAGTCTTGGCAATCTTAAGGGAAAAATTTTCAAGAGATAACTGTTTATCCTAATGAAATCTGTAATTCAAGCAAAATCGACGAAACGACCCGTGAAAATATTCGGCCAAAGACATCTAACAATTTATGTTAATTCGTGTAAAGTGGTGTGATAATTAGTTTAGGAAAATGTATCATACAACTTCCATGTATCATCCATGAAAATTTCATGTAAAACAAGCAGTTTCAAGTGTTTCATCTATCCTCAATGAGAACTAATTAGCCTCAGCACCTTTGCCGTCAGAACTAGCTCATTTATTCACCATTCCTTTTGGGAGTAAGAATGTTTAATTAAACTACGTTTCTAAGCCATAAATTAGTCGTGTCACTATGCATCATTTATCAATTGAAAGTAAATAGGAACTGTGAACATTTGATCGAGGTATTATTTCCCTATCTTTTACTATCACTTCAGATTGTAAATGCTCAATCACTTAATGCAACTTCCGTAGGTGGTGTGCACTGTGTATGCTTGTATATATGTATATACAGTGTTCTACGAAAATGATCGGCACTGTTGAAGGCAACAGTCATTACACATTGAAAATTGTGAAATGGTAACACGCTATGTACAGGGTGTATCAAAAGTTTTTATCTTTTTGATTTTTTAAATGATATATTACTGCTAGTATTTTTGGCTATAAATCACGCGTTACAATTACAAGCTGTTCACCTCTAGTAATATCAACCATTTTGTTGTATATAAATGGATACCTAGAATTCTTAATTTACAAAGTAAACGATTGTATCATTTAGTGAGTCCTATTGACCGATTGAATTTGCACTTATTATTCAGACACACGTTCTAATACAAAAACGTATTGTACTGCTCACGAGTATCTTTGAACGAGACACCCAGTATGTAGGTTGGTAGAACGTCAATCAAACAAGCGTTAGGCACATATTTTACATTGTGTTATGGTTACGTTGGAACTCGGTGGTAAAACGTGTGATATTTTTCATCTGCGACTGCAAGAGGATTAGGAGAGTGGAACGAAGGTGCACAGGTGCGTGAAAGCAGACGATTCAGCACCGGTGAATTAGCGTGTGAATCGTGTGCTGCTTCGTTCACCGTGAGTGTATCTGATAGTCGCGGAGAAAAAGAAGAAAATCCTTGTGCGTGATGAAAGCTCGTTCGGGTTCGTCTAGCGTCGTGCGAGGATTCGTGCTGACGAGGCACTTATTTGAAAACAATGTGTTTTCTCCGACTGCACCTACTTCCCCCTGTATCGTATTTCAAACTTCTGTTTGGTCACGTGTTTTCGACCGTTGAGAATCTGTTTGAACAGTAGTAAATGTGTCTTAAGTAAATTTCTTTTTTTAAATATTACATGGAAAACATGATGTCATTAGCTTTGTTAGTATTGGAAACGTACCATATTTGGGCGCCATTATTTCTTTTGAGTCTGCGCGTTATTAAATCATCATCTGTTCGAGTAACCAGTTCTTCTAATGTAAACGCAAAGAGGATCGGTGTCAGATAGAAACTCGATCGGACATCTATGCTCGTCCGATATGTTAATGAAATCCGTCTCGATCAGCTGACGAATTAATTATGGTACAAACACCGATGTGTCCTTAATCGTGACACAGCAACAAGGCTAACGATTCTATCTGAAGTCCTCGCTCGTACGTACGGTCACGTGATTCACTAGCAACACAATTCTTTCGTCTCACGATATCAACTCACCTATATGGGAACGAACGATCCTTTTTCCGCGATTACGTAACACAGTCTCGGTTGCCAGTGTAATTATCCCGACAATGCGAAAGGCAACGCACGACAAGGACTTTTTGACATACAAACGAGTTATTAACGGATCGACATTATCGACCAGATTTTTGCTCGTCATTTTTCTATGATTAGTTCGAATTGCATGTGCATAGGTGGCGTACGATTTTTCTTATTAAAATCGATACGTGTCGTTTAAAATGGTTGCATTTCCGCATGTGATGCATTTCCATTATAGGCTTTCTAAATGTTTATATCCTCTATGACATGATTAGTATCATTTCTAATACGGGATCAATTACTATTTCTTAGGCACAATCTCATAAATTATAATCGAACTGACGTGAAAAGTATCGGACGCGTGTTTGAGAGTAAGAAAGAGAGAGATTAAATAGCGCAGTAAGCCAACGTATATTCGAAATCACATCCTACGATTCAATTTAATCGTTGAAAGCGGTTGATGACGATGATCGCGCGAAGGTTGTTCCAATTAATATTAAACGGCCTGCGAAATGATAATATGTACTACCGTACGTGAGCGCACTAACGAACAAGCCGGGCTGTATGGTACTGTGCTCTCGATGTGTCTACACTTTACTGTAAAACAACCGACAAACGTAATTTAGGTATTAAAAAAATTGTTTCTCATTTATTGTGAGTTTTGAATCGTTTATTTTAAATGTATACGAAAAAATATATATGATAAGTACTATAAAGAGCAATACGAGTGTCTGCAGATAGCACTGCATTTCGAGTATCGAAATTTTCTTTTTCTTCGATCCTGTCCTTTTGTCCAGGGAGACGGGTCGTTGGCCGTGCTTTATGGTCCGAGGTGCCAACGCTCCATTCTAATGTAATCTCCATTGTAAGACTGTTGTCGAGCCTCTTACCTCCATGCTCTGTCATCCTGCGTTCTTGTTTTGACGCGTAAACCTGTACCTAATTATCGATGCTTTTTAACGCTTTAACGCTTCACACTATGACCGACGTAGTAGTCAAAGTGTTAACTACCGTTCTATACTAATCTCTTATCACGAGGATGTGATAATTTTAGTGGATGTAACACCCAAAAATTCTTCGGAATATATAGTTATGGTTATATCTATGCTGCAACATAGTAACAATTCTAATTGCTCTATGCCACGTGTACTGTCCATCATCGTTCATAGGCCGTGGGTTAGCGGGTGAAATTACGAAACCGGGCAAAGCGTAACGTCTAATTACACAGTAGTGACGCAACGCGTGGACGCAATGCGTAATGAGTATATTCGCAGAAGGTAAAGTAGCTGTCCCGAGTTCGTTGACCGTGACAACAGATAGGCGGCTCTTACTTTCTCGCGGTGACGAAACCGAACAGCGCCACGGAAAGAGTATGTCTAGACGTAGCCTCGGGCAGAGAGTCGTCGATACGCGGGGGAAAAACAATGATTCAAGGTGCACTTACCTAGTTTCGTATGCCAAGTGCCACCTACAGACGCGGGAAAGACGCGCGTGTCCCGACTGGTTTTTTCTATTTTCAGCGTGGTTCAAGCGGTGGTAAACGCGTTATGTACTTTTTTTTGGCTTTGTTCTTGCTCGGTTATTCTATGGTAAAATTTCGTCGGAAAACACGCGACCACTGACGCGTGTCTCCCTGTTCCTGACCGGCGGTTCCACCTGCCGTTTCCTGCTTCCCTTCCTGATTCATTCATGACGTTTCATCGTGATGCGTTGTTCGTTGCTTTTCATGGCGGACAAAGTGACGATCGACGATCCAGCGTATCGCCGTTTTACTATACATGTAGAGGAGAAGGTGAACGAACCGGGCGATTCCATCTTCGATCGTTCTTTATTCTACCGATGCAGAAATTCTCTACTTGATTCACGTTACCGGGATCTCGATTAACCTTTTACGGAATAATTTTTTTTAGTGTTTGTTAGCTATTTATTTTATTATGTACATGTATTATCGTTTACAATTTATTCCCACATGCGTTAACATAACGGTGATTATTTTCGTTGACTAGCAATGGGAAAATTTATAGTCGATTTGCAATTAGTGATAAATGATGTCATTGACATTTTCATAAGTCATTCTAAGGTAGTAACACATACGGAAATCTGAAGATTAGCGTAATGCAGTTCTTGGTTCATGTTTCAAGGATCGATGCAAGGATCTACCGGTTGCTTTTACCGTTACGATACTCCTAACGGGATGCTGGGAATGCGACGACGAAGCGAACTAGCCGAAACCATTCCTTTCACGCGCTCTCTAGATCAGCCATGCGAACGATCAGTTAATATTTGCAACGAATTTTCATCTATCGACATTTAGTTAATTTTAATATCTCTTGCTCGATATTAACCGTTTACAAATATTTCATATAAATAACTGTACATATACATACATATAACGAGAAATGTAGGATTTCTATTAGAAAAATATAACGATTATTGACTGAGAAACGAAACTAGGAATATTGCATAGAAACTGTCGATATTATCGTTTTGAGCTACTTATTCAGAGCATTAACAAAATAGCCGTGGTTGCAAAGTTATGCGATTCACGGTCATCGGCAACCAGTAATCAGTCTAACGTGATTTAAATGAATTAGTAGCCGTGAAGAAAGCGGCTCGTGTTTAGTGCAACGGAAATCAGGTACTTGGTATCTGTATTTGTGTTTATTACCATGCAATTAATGTTCCATTAATGTGTTACATCTTAATGTTGCGTGATCACATGTATGTGAATTAAAATATAGTAATACGTGATTTCGAATTTTTAAAACATTGTGCTAAACATCGCAGACACGCAAAAATAATATTAAAATACTTAAAACAACACTGCTGGCTCAAGTTACGCTCGAAATTTCCACGAAAGAAATTCGATCGGCTTTTCCGTGCCGGTGCGAGTTATTCGCCCGTGATCTCGCGGGACAACACGTAATGTACTGCACGAAAGAGCACCACTTTGATTCGCAACGGCGTTTTCAAAATTTTGTCACGGTGGCGTGGCGTTCGTGTAACAATGATGCACTGGCACGTGACGACCTTTGCTCGTTCAGTGACTGTCATTCGTCTAACAATATGTATCTAGAAAAATATCTCCCCACCAAGGAAATGAATATTCATAAATCGTTAAAAAAATCGTTTCAATTTATCGGTATTAAATATTTACTTTCCTTTGTTTCTTATCTATTTTATATTTGATAAAAAAAATGCAGGTGAAAAAGTAGGCAAGGTCGCTTACATGTAAATCGTACCAGTGATTCACCACCTACAACATCGTGCGTCTCTTATCTACATCGCGATAACGACCGATACAAATTCAGAAATTTCGAGCACTTGCATTTCGTCAGTGTTCAAGAGCACGTCGAATCAAAAAAATCAACGTTCGTACAGGTTCGTAGTTTTTTTTTTTTTTTTTTTCTGTGTAAAATTCTTTCGGTGTAGTTCCATTGTGTCTCACGTGAAGTAACGCTATTGAAATTTGTCAGTATACATATGTATAGGGACTTATTATTTTGACACCGCGACGTTGTCGCGCGTACGAATCTTACGGTCTTCGTTAGGAACCTCTTCCGAGGGTCGTCTTAAATCCTCATCGAACGGCTTTAACGGTGGCACTTTAGATGCTTCTTCCATCAATAATACGGCGCGAACCTATTCCGTTTACCATCGCCTAATCGGCCGCGAGATAGAAGCAACGGCTAGTAGCTGTGAGCCGTTACTTTTATTTACCATGATTTGTCCGTCTGGCATTATTGAAGGCAGTAAACTCGCATAAAAATAGAATTCTTTTGTATCCTATGAACTGCTGAATACATAGATGGAGTAATAGGTGAAGTAGCGTAAGACGAAATTCGAGACAGAAATGATCGATAGTTTTCTTTTGTTTCAATAGCTTTATTGTTTTGTATTCTTGCTTTTACAAATACAAATTTCTGATGAAAAATTTTCTGGAACGATTTCTTATCTCATGAGACATTCATTCGAAACAGTTGTATACGTTCATTTACGATAAAGAGAGACGTATTAATTATGAAAAGGAAAGTGGAATTAGGTTTTGAAAAGAAGAAAGTGAGATCATGGAAAAGTGTTCTTAGCAATAAATGAAAGAACCACTAATAATCTTAATTATGTGAATCGTTCTGCACTTTAAGAGATAATTCATCAATTGTCCGCGATGAAATGCGATATGTATTTTTCCCTCGTAAACATCAACCGTTTACGTCACGGCACATGCGCCGAACAATTTTCTTTTGCATTTGCAATCCTGCCGCCGGAAACTTACAGGGACTGTTCCTTTCACCGGAAACGTTCGTACATTTCGCGGGAGAAAGTGGCAAGACCGCGGACGAATTCGTAGACGATACGCTCGTTCGTCGTACGTTTTTGGCGTAATAGCTTTACACATACATATGTATAGTACGTCGAGGATAGCTCACGCGAGACCGGCATAATTATGTATGTACGCGCGGTCAAGCACCGTTGTTGTTTCTTACTATATAATTACTTGTAACGTTTAAAATGGAATCATGAGTGCATGTTAACAGAAAGGAGCATAGTATATCGTTTCGTGTATGTATGTATGTACATGATGGACGAATGTCTGGGATTATATATATTGTACTGAAAAGTAAGAATATATAAATTTCTCTTTTATTCAAATAGTTTCCTTTCAGTGATATTTTGGTGATTACAGTCCTGGGATAAATTATCTTTTAGAATCATATTTATTATTTTAAAGAATTCTATAACCTTCAATTATTCATCAAGGACAACTTGTTATTCCTTCAAATGATTCACGCGTGACTCAATATTGTATAACTAAGTATATACAAATAGACGATCTCTTAGATATTTGAATTAAATAGAACAGTGCACGAAATTCATTGAATTATTACGCATTGTGTTTGTGTGGTTGCAGAGCGTAGGCCGATATGGAGAACCAGCAGGTGTGGGTGCGAGACCCTCAAGATGGTTTCATAATCGGCAAGTTCACGGACATGGTCGATGGGGATGCGTTAATCGTGCCGCTGAATCCGAAATATCCACAGCGCACCTGCCCCCTGGACGAAGTTTATCCTGCTGGCGAATACACCAAAGACGTCGAGGACAATTGTAATTTCTTCTTTCATCTATGCTTTTTAAAAAAATGTCAGATTAAATTCTACAGAGTTAGATATGTATAATGATGGAATATGTATTCACTAGATTTATATGAAAACATGGACTATGTTTCACGGCCATCTTCTGTTAGTAACGAACCTTTAGCTCTCGACGCGGCGACTCTCTCTTTTTTCTCACTTTTGAAAATCTACTTTCACCGGTTTGCTCTGTTTTCCATGTTCCCAGGCGCTCTGATGTACCTGAACGAGGCCACGCTGTTGAACAACATACGGACTCGTTACTTCAAGGATAGAATATACGTGAGTAATTGCGCTCTATTTGCGGCCAACCGTTCAAAACAATTGGGGGGGTCGCTGAATGGTCTAGACTCTAGGAGTCTAGGAGAACGAAGCAGATATTCTGGATGAAAGAAGAAATAAAATTATGGAATAACTAAGAATACAATTATTAATATACAAGATATATAGAACGCTGAAGTAGAAAAAAAAATTTCTTTATCGATAATTTTATTGATACTTCACAGACTTACGTGGCCAATATCTTAATCGCTGTAAATCCATACTGCGAGGTGAGAGATCTTTATTCCACTGAAACGATCAAGGACTATAAAGGAAAATCTTTGGGAGAGACACCTCCTCATGTATTCGCCATTGGTATTGGAATTTTTTGCTTGTTAATGTATGGGATTGGGAATTAAGGAATTAATTCGTTCCTTGCTTTTTCAGCTGACAAAGCGTTTAGAGACATGAAAGTGTTGAAGCAGTCGCAGAGCATCATCGTTTCCGGTGAATCTGGGGCAGGCAAGACTGAATCGACCAAGTATCTGCTTCGATATCTTTGCGACTTGTGGGGATCGACCGCTGGGCCGATCGAACAGAAAATTTTAGATGGTACAATTTGTATAAAATAATATACATATTGTATACAAATCAAATATAAAGAAATAAGATGTGTTCGTTATATTTTTTGATTATTTTAGCAAATCCGGTTTTGGAAGCTTTTGGAAATGCAAAGACCAAACGGAATAATAATAGCTCGCGTTTTGGTAAATTCATGGAGGTGCATTTTGACTCGAAGTGTCAAGTTGTAGGCGGTTACATTTCCCATTATCTTCTGGAAAAATCGAGGGTCTGTCTGCAAAGTCCCGATGAGAGAAACTACCACGTTTTTTACATGATGTGCGCCGGAGCTCCACCGGAACTTCGTGCGAAACTAGGAATTACGAAACCGGACGATTTCCACTACTTGAAGAACGGTTGCACCCAGTACTTTTGCAATGAGGAGTCAGAGAAGAAATTGAACGACGTACAAAAGAGTCGTGATCAAATTACGAAAGGTAGCTTGCACGATCCAATTCTGGATGACGTTGAGGGATTCAATGCCATCGATCAGGTGAATATTACAACTGTCGTATAGTGTTAAATAGACTATTGATATTTTTAAGCTACTAATTTTTTACTTTCTTACAAAATTTTTAGTTGAACATTGATAATTATACTTATTTGATATTTTCCCTCTTTTTTTTTTTGCCGATTGGATAATTTTTCCAACACAGGAAAAAGCAACGGTAACTTGATGGTTTTTTAACTTAATCATCAAGCACCTCTCATTTTGTGCAATTTTTAATTTTGCTCGTTTTTCCATGTTCTATATACTTTTTATTCCCATACCTTTGTATATACATATTTTTTGACACGATAGCGATTACTATTTATTTTTCCTTTAATGACTTCTTAATGAAGGCCCTGACGAGACTCGGTCTAACTGAAGCGGAAAGAATGGAAATTTACACGATGGTTGCCGCCGTGCTTCACCTTGGGAACATCATGTTCGAGGACAATCCTGAGGATACGAAGGGCGGTTCCAGAATATGCGCCAGTTCTGAGAAAGCGGTGTTAATGTCTGCAAAATTACTGGCTGTTGATCCTGAGGAACTTAGACAAGCCTTAGTGTCAAAAGTGATGCAGACTAGTCGCGGTGGTATCAAGGGAACGGTCATTATGTAAGTTCATCTAAAGTAAGAAATATAAGACCGTTAATAACTGGTTCATTTCATTCTGTCAGGGTACCATTGAAAGTTTACGAAGCAAATAACGCCAGGGACGCTCTGGCTAAAGCCATTTACAGTAAACTATTCGATCATATTGTGGCTCGTATCAATAAGAGTATTCCCTTCAAGGCCTCCAGTTATTACATTGGTGTCTTGGATATTGCAGGATTTGGTATACATTCAATTTTTTATTTATTTTTTTTATTTAATTTTTTATATGCTATTTACTTTTTCTATTTAATTTTTTATATGCTATTTACTTTTTCTATTTAATTTTTTATATGCTATTTACTTTTTCTATTTAATTTTTTATATGCTATTTACTTTTTCTATTTAATTTTTTATATTGCATCCGTTTAACTGCATGGCACACATAAAACCTTATTTATTCACTTTAGTATAATATTATTATTATTTCTCTTTACAGAGTATTTTAAGGTAAATAGTTTCGAGCAGTTTTGCATAAATTACTGTAACGAAAAATTGCAACAATTCTTCAACGAGAGAATCTTGAAGTACGAGCAAGATCTCTATGCAAGAGAATCTTTAAATGTTCCAAAAATATCTTACGTGGATAATCAAGATTGTATCGGTGAATATAATGCATCCTTTCGATCGTTTCACGGTGTGAAAGTGAAGTTCTACTTCGTTTTGTATAATTTTCAGATCTAATTGAGTCGAAAAACATGGGAGTCTTCAGTTTGCTAGACGAGGAATCGAAATTGCCAACTCATAGTTTCGCGCATTTTACCAGCGAGGTACATCGTGTTTGGAATGGTCACTTCAGGATAACATTGCCGCGAACGTCTCGTTTAAAGGCTCACAGAGAGCTACGCGATGACGAAGGATTCGTAATTCGTCACTATGCTGGTGGTGTTTGTTATCAAACGGTATTTTAATAATAACATATTCTATTAATTGTTAGAAATTGTTTTATTATTCATATAATCTTATATACTTTCTACGGTACTCTCTAACTTTTCCCTTCTTAAAAATCTCGAACAATTTTTCTCATTTCCAGAACCAGTTTATAGAGAAGAACAATGACGCTCTACATGCCTCCCTGGAAGCATTAATTCAGGAGAGCAACAACAAATTCCTCAGAACGCAGTTCGCCAATAATTCTTGTCAAAAAGGAAAGCTCACTTTCATCAGTGTTGGTAGTAAATTCAAAAAGCAACTGGGAGAACTGATGGATAAATTAAAGAGCAACGTACGAATCTTCTTGAACCATTTATATTAATTATACTGGGGTGACGGTGAACAATTAATGCATCAAATTTCTCTTACAGGGAACAAATTTCATTCGTTGCATTAAACCTAACAACGACATGGTGGCCTATCAGTTCGACGGAAATAGTATTTTAGGGCAGCTTCGTTGTTCCGGTATGACGTCAGTCTTGGAACTTATGGAGCATGGTTATCCAAGCAGAGTTCCGTTCCAGGAACTGTACAACATGTACAAATCCTATCTTCCACCAGAGTTGGCTAAATTAGAGCCCAGGTTCTTCTGTGAAGCGTTACTTCACAGTTTAAAATTGAATAAGAAGGACTTCAAGTTTGGAATCACCAGAGTGTTCTTCAAGCCAGGAAAATTCGCCGAGTTCGACAAAATTATGAAATCGGATCCTGAAAACTTAAGAAAATTGGTGGCCAATGTGAAGAAGTGGCTACTGAAGTCTCGATGGAACAAAATGCAGTTCTGCGCACTATCCGTAATCAAATTGAAGAATAAAATCATTTATCGTAGGCAGCACTTAATTATTTTACAGAAAACCGCGAGAATGTACATAGCCAAGAAGCAGCACCGACCTCGATTCAAGGGAATTAAGATGATTAAGAACTTGAGGACGCAGCTGGTTGGTATGGAAGAGACATCAAAACAGCTAAAGAATCGTGAAAAGTCTATGAATGATATAAAGAGGCTGCAAAATGATCTGGATGTAGCTATTAAGAGGATCAAGATCAATGAAAGAATAAAACCAGCCGAAATTGATTCTCTTTACACGAATTTAGTTAATCAAATGAACAAACAAATGGTGTCGAGCAGCGGAAGGAGGAGGAAGTACGGAAGAAGAGGGAAGAAGAAGAGAATAGAAGGAAGAAACACGATATGGAGATAAGGAGAAAGGCTGAGGAAGAACAAAAAAGGAAACAAGAAGAGGAAGATAAAAGAACCGCTGCAGTTATACAAGTGCGTAATTTATGTTTTTATCAAAGAAAAATGTTTTATCGCTTTTCAAGCTATATTACTTCTCTTCGCTTAGTTACTTCAGTTACTCAGTTACTTCTGAAACGCTTAGTACACTAAAGCCGGGTCTTACATTTCTTTTGAAGGCACAGATGGAGAAAGAAGAACTGGAGGAGAACCAATATCGTGATTTACTGGAGCAAGAAAGAAGGGACCACGAATTGGCGGTGAGATTGGCCCAGGAATCGAACGGACAAGTGGAGGATTCGCCGCCACCAGTTCGAAGGTATTTTAGATTTTATTTTTTTTTCTAATATTAATTGGAAAAAAGTAGAGCGAGTTACACTGGATATTAAGCATATTTCGATCGAGAATAAAATGTAGCAAAAGTTTAACGAAATTATTAGTAAAATGTAGCAAAATTTTAACGAAAAAACTAGTTGATCATTCAAAGAATTTTCTCTCAAGCAAACAAATTTTGATTTTGTTCTGTTGAACATGTATGTATAGCGGTTCCGATGTACGAGTACCATCGAACAACAACAGGCTAGCAAGGTATCGTAAAATTTGTTGAGGTCAACTGTACGCATAACTAACACTAACATAAGTAATAATTTTGTTGTGATTAACTTATTAACATGTATCCTTTTCTTTTCCTTAACACTAAAAGTGTTTGGCCCTATCGTTTATAGATTGAATGTTTCAAAATTTCTTTATATATATAGCGTTCACTTGTGCATGTATTTAGAGTAAAGAATGCACGACATTACGCTTGCTATGTGTGCAAATTTTGAGAGCAATACAACTGTCTTTAAAAATTCTGTAAATATTCTTTTAATGTAAAATATGTTCTAAATAATAAGTATTGATTGATTTCTTTTGAAACAATAGATCGGAGCAGGTGCGGAACAACCAGGCAGCTATGGCCAATAAAAAGTACGATTTATCTAACTGGAAGTACTCGGAATTAAGAGATGCTATAAATACATCCTGTGATATCGAACTGTTAGAGGTAAACGTCATTTGTAATTATTGGAAAATTGTAAAATAAATTAAATCCAGGTACCATAACAACCGATATCGTATATTTTTTCCTTCCATAGGCTTGTCGTCATGAGTTCCATCGAAGATTAAAGGTTTACCATGCATGGAAGGCTAGAAATCGCAAGCGAACGTCCTTGGATGAAAATGAAAGAGCACCAAAGTCCATCATGGAAGCTGGTACTACTTAATCACAATTTTACTAGTTGAAAACAACGTATATGAATCTTTTATGCTATATCAATGTATTTGAATTGTTCGTTTCAGCTGCTAAAGCACCAAGGCCTCAAGTGAAACAGTCCATAATTGAGTCTTCTCAGAGATATTTCAGAATTCCTTTTGTAAGACCAGCTCCAACCGGTCAACAAGACAATTCCCATACATCTGGTAAACGAGGTTGGTGGTACGCGCACTTTGATGGTCAGTATGTTGCTAGACAGATGGAACTTCACCCTGATAAAGCACCAATTCTTTTGATAGCAGGTAAATCAATAATTCTAATGCATTTGTATTAGTTCTAATCTTATCTTTATCAAGTATTCATAACGCTTAGAACCTAATCTAACCTTGTATTACGTTATCATTACGCTGTTTTTACGTTCAGTTATCACTCTAATTATAAGAGAAAGCAATATGATTGTTATCTGAAATAGTACTTTAGGTTATCAGAGGGAAATTATTGTTTCTCAAAGGTATCGACGACATGCAAATGTGTGAATTGAGCCTAGACGAGACTGGATTGACTAGGAAACGTGGTGCTGAAGTGTTGGAGCACGAGTTCAATCGCGAATGGGAGAAATATGGGGGCAAACCGTACCTTCCTCCGTGTGACCGTAAAAAATGAGGCAATCCATCAAATAGTTGTTATAATATAGGCTTTACGAATTTTTGTATCGATCCACTTTTAAAAGTGAACCCATAGCACAGTGCCTTAGAATTTTTGTGCCTTTCACGTTTAAAGGAAAAGGCAAACGTTTTGAAAGCACGATGTAACTATGTTGATTAATTTTGTTATCGATTATTAAATTCTTAGAAGGTATGGAAGGATGATTGGATCCATGGTGGATCTATGGATCGATGGACGTGTAGTGTGTACGTTATGTACCCGGTGCATTGTAGAATGTACACGGTATTTCGAATCAACAATTTTGGGTACGCTTGGCAGCAACTTTTTAACGTGATAAATCTAATTGTTCAGTATTCGAAAGCAGTATACATTAATGTTGAAAAGGGAAATACAAACGTTCGTCGAAAAGAAGCAAGATCTCATTAAATTTCAATTTACCTTACTTCTCCTCTTAGAGAAGGGGAGAATGTGTTGATTCATTCCGTAAAATTTTATTTGTGGTATTAAGGTTGAAAGATCATGGATTTTTAGCATGTAAACTCTCCTTTATATCTTGCAACAGAAAATGCGTCATGGTTCCTTCGATTAATATACAGCTTTGTTGAAGAAACTATCTCCGGTTATGCGTTTAGATGATTTTACTATTTATAAAGTATATTATTGCACATTTAAACACGAGTGTAGGTGCGCCTTTTTTTCTCGTGGACATAAGAATCAAACCTCAACGAAATAAACAGTATGTATCGATCAAGTATGTTTATAAATAAATAACATTCGCTCCATTTCTCTTTTTCACGGTTAAGGCAACGTTATTTACAGCTTTCGACAGTAATATTTGCTTCGTATTGAATAGTAAAAAAGTCATATCGATAGAATGAGACTCTAGATCGGAGGTATCCACCCACCAAAGGCTTTTTCCAGTTCTTTTGCAACTGCTAAACAAACATGATCCTGACCGTGTGCAGATGTCACCTGGAATATGATAAATATTTAAAAAAAAATATAGTAAATGTACTGACCATTGCCATAAAGTCAATACAGAGCTTCAGAGTAAAGAATCAAGCGGGTCGGTCACCTGAATTCCAACCGGTAATCCAGTTTTAGTGAAACCTATTGGTACACTCGTCGATGGCAATTGCATTATATTGGCAAATGCGCTATAAATGTTGGAATCGATTTGGAAGAACATGAGCTGTGGATAGTCTGCTACACGAGGAAAGGTGGGGCTTATTATCACTGCGTTACCTCTCAGCTCATTCTGTAAGCAACACAAGAAATGTCTGAAGATATTCGTGCCAAGAATATACACTGTTTCTTTCGGGTGAATCGTTTAATTCGTACATTCACTTCTTCACGGATTTTCTCCTTGAGCTGTCGAAAATGTTGCAGCCTCGAATGTGACACAAATCCGCCTGTGTCTATGAACAATTGCAGGAAAGCAAGCATCGGTGTGTACTGTGATAAACCAATGGTTGCCTTTATGAATTCAAGAAAGGCGTTTTTCTTTACCTGAAAAAATGATCATCAATTCTTCTGAGAGTTCAAGTTTTTATAAATATAATAATTTGGAAAATAGAAATTATTCTTGTATTTTAATTGTTATTACCTCTGGATTATCAATATTTAGTAAATTAGGCACCTGCAATTCGCTGGCTACAGCTATTACCACGGGGAACATGTCCCGTACCCATTTCTGTGGCAACTGAAACATAATTCAATAAACTTTTTTCAATTCTGATCTGTTTAAATGAAATATTTAAATTCGACTTTGTAAATACAGTAAAATAATGTTATTACTTTTTCTATATGAGCACCCTTCTCTGCGAGATAACTCTTGGCTTTATGAACCGCTTGTCTAATATCCGATGTAGTCGATCTTATACCACAACTGCAACCAATATTATCCAAATAAAAGACTTTCGTATGTTTTAAGTCAATTGGTTCAATTGGATGCAAAGTTTTCTCAGATTTAGAACTCAATATTTTCATGGCTAAGCAAAGATCCTCTACGCATCTTGCTAACGGCCCGAGTACCAAAACTGGATTTACCTTAACATCACCGGCTATGGGGAAATGCCCATCAATAGGGACAAGACCTAAGGAAGAAAGTACACTGATTAAAATGATTAAAAAATTATTTAGAATAATATTTAATCAAATGTAGCCCGGTAAACTAAATGAAAGATTGTTATTCCTGTTATTATAATACCTGGAGTAGGTTTATGACCAAAAATGCCAGTGAAGGAAGCTGGTATTCTTATGGAACCGACCAAATCGGAACCTATACCAAGTACAGATGCTCCAGCACTAATTAACGCAGCCTATAATAATAGAAGAATAGCGACGTAAAACGGAATATCATACTTTTCAAAATATGATTTAAAATATCATACTTTGATCATTACCTCGCCTCCTGATGATCCTCCTGGAGTTCTTCTCCTGTCATGTGGATTCTTTGTGGTACCAAATAGGCGATTGTAACTGTGCACAGATGTGCACAGTTCTGAAGTGTTGCTTACTAGCAGAGGAATTGCTCCAGCATCCTTAAGCAGTTCCACTGCTGATCCATCTTCTGTAGCCTTCATTCCTTTCCTTGACAGTAAACCTCCAGTGAGACTCAATCCTAATTCAAAAAAGGATTTTTTTCTTTAAACAAAATATAAGACAAACACAAGATAGATAAATCACTTGAAACATTTATCATCTGAAAGTGTTTCAGTACTAAATGCTATCAGACCTCTAGCTATTGAAAGCAATTTCAGTGCAGATTTATGATTACCTTTAAGGGAGCAGCTTTCTTTGATAGTGACCGGCACTCCATAAAGTGGTTTCTCCGCTTCCAACGTTGCAGCGACGACTTCTCCGCACTTCAGTCTTGCGTCACATGTTTTCGCGTCAAGTACGGCCTGCTCGAATCGGTCCTCTATCACTGCGTTTAGTAAAGGATTCACTTCCTTAACACGCTGGATATATGTTTCCACTACTGTTTGGCTAGAAAGCTTTTACCAACGCGGCACAGTTAAAAAATTATAGCTGTCTATGGTGTAATTAATTTAAAAAAAAAGTCGAGTTAATTTGGAAGTTTCTTTCGTGAGGGAAATGCAGAATTATTAGCAAGAGGTTAATAATTAATGTTAAAATGGTAGGGTTGGTGCATGAATAGCGTGAATTAAGTGATTCTTATGCAAGCTATTTACTTCTCCGTTTCTGATCTTCTTGGCCAACGTGGTCGCGCTTAGTTTTAACAGATGATTGTTAATTGGCGGTATACCGGGTAGTTTTCTGTGATAAATCAGCATGAATATAGGACGGAGAATGAAGCACACGAAGTGCAGCAACGCTACTATTACAATGGGTATTATTTCGCTCATTTTTCCTGAAGCAAAAAGTCGACCTATAAAAAAAGAGAAATATATACATATATACCGATTTGTTCAAAAATTTTGGAACATAATAGAAAAACAAGTTATTCAAATAGTAAAGCAATTTACAGGCCACCCTGTATTTCTTACAGAGAAATTTTCAAGAATTTCTAACCTATAAGGAACTCTGAGAATTCTCAATTTGGAAAATCATTGTCAACAATCGTTATTCTAAGAGCTCTGAGTAATGTGTACTTTGTAAAGATCCATAAGAATTCTCTAAGAGTTTCAAATCTACAAAAATTCTTAATCTACCATAGACTTCTACCATTGTTAACTGAAAATTTACAAAGGCATCCTTAAGAATTTTTATTTACAAGAGATTTTATAAGAACCCCTAATGTTACAAAAACCCTTCATACATTCATATTGGCAAGGAGCCCGCGCATGCGCAAGCAATGCATGAAGAGAACGTGAAGAAAACATGGCAACGGCAAGAACGCAACGTATCGTTGCGTCGAACAATTTGTGTGCGTGCAACCCCTTCGTAATTACCGCTCATTAACCCACTTGGATGTTCTTCGATCGAGCCGCGAATCGTTTCTCCATTCGTCGATCGATGATTCGCATTTCGACCGCGTAGGAAGCTATATCGTCTCTCCAATGACCGCATCCCGCCATTTCATTTGATTCGAACCGAATCAGGTATACCAACAGCGTGTTTACGCACGTTGAATGCACGAGGCATGATCGCGTAAATTAGTTTCCGTTGATCGTGAGGCGAATGGGTCATTGGAGATTTGCCCGTTGACTTCGTTGAATGTTGATGATAGAAATTTGGCTGTGTGAAGACAGGTGAAAGAGAACGGAGATTGATGATCCTCGTAGTATCATTGGCAGTTACATGTGGTTGTTTGTAGAATTGTTATAGTTGTTCTAAAAGTTTTGGTGTGTTTGCTAAAGAATGAAGAGAACACAAGAGTGAACGGAAAAAGGAATTTTCATGGAAAAAGATGCAATGTTATTGTTGAAGTGTAGAATGAATTTGAGGTTAGTGCAAATTGAAAGTACAGACTTTTTTTTTGTTACAAGGAAATAGAATTATGGATATTAGGCTTGTAAAGGTAATAGACCTCTGTAAATTCTTTTTTCTATAATTTATAATATACATATATTGTTTGTTTTGTTTCCATTGTCTTTCTACAAGCATATGGTAGTTCTATTTATACTTTATGTCATTTCTATTTATATTGTTCGAATGTATATGCAGATATTTTAAGGCGCAGGGTTGTATTTTATTAGGTTTCTTATCACGATTTGTGAAATCGAAACGTAACGTCGTTATTCGACGTCGTTGGAGGTCTATTACCTGTTCGTGCATGGGCGATCAACTGGCAATTTATACAGAGTAGGATGTTTAGGAAATGCGTGTCAAAACTTTAGGGTATCACGTATCGAAAAAATTGGGTCAAGCTTTGAAAGCAAATTTCTCTACTGATTAGTATTTATACAAATGCCTGAAAAATGAAGGAAACTACAAAACTAAAAGTTGAGATATTTAGTTACCTGCATATGTTTTAAAACTATTCAAACAAGAGTGTAACTTTATCGAAGAGGTAAATTTCAATTACAAGAGGGAAAAAACGGTTGAACAGATATTTAAAAGCAAGTATTTTGCAAGAACTGGTCTCGTCGATTTTAACGTTAGTGTGAGCCGTACGATTAACTCGATACAGCTCTACTAGCTCTTTAAGGAAACGTAATACGCGTTAACTCGACGAAACGATGCGTTCAGTCTAAATTCCGCGATGCTTGCGACATACCGCGTATACATGAATGTTCGCACTTTCGTTTGTACCTAAGCGCGTTCGATTGTTCAAAATTTTTCATTTGAATTTCGTATATCTAAAGTATGTATATGTTTGAATATTTCGAATTTGATTGTTTTGAATTTAAATTTTGAATAGCTTGAATTTGATTGGCTGAATTCAAATTTAAATAGCTAGAATTTGATTAGCTGAATTTAAATCTTGAATACCTTGAATTTGATTGGCTGAATTTAAATCACGAATAGCTTGAATTTGATTGGCCGAATTGAAATTTGAATATTTCGAAATATTTCGATTGGCTGAATGTAATTATTAGAATTTGAACATTTAAATTCGAATAACTTGAGTTCGAGTCTTTTTCAATTTAAATATACGAATTAGAATATTTAGAAATAGAAAAGTAGTTATCTGGATGCTTTTGTAGTGCATCATCGTCGACGATTAAATAGATGTTCACTTTCAATAATCGACTGTTTACATTCACTTTAATCTCAGTGTTACTCCTATTAATTATAATAATAATTTCTTTGTTACATAAGTAAGATAATTATAATTAAATTGGTAAAGGCAAAGGTCGCTTACAGCTTCTTTTATACTTAACCTATAATTACAAGTAACTCGTCATAATTCACTGATTCTTACTTCACTGATGCTCTTTTTTTCTCCTTAATTTTTCTTCCCTGCAAATGCATCAATCATGCAAACTAACCGCATCTACGCATCATAACGAGGATAAAAACACGAATCACGAAGTGTTGTGTAACTAGTGAAAATTAATATTATTTATCAAAAGTAAACGGTCAACAAATTATTTACAATCACACATTATCACATGTTTTCGTGTATGTTTCTCTGAATTTTATTTCTTATGATTCGTGTCAATTTATTCCATTTTTTCCACCTCGAAATTATCTCTAGAAATATGTACATAACTCCGTAACTCCAATGGTAAATGGTTAGGTTTGAATACTATAGTCTACCGGGCACATGTGATGCCATTTATAACGAAACCTTGTACCGGAAAAATTGGATAAAGACGTTTGTTTCAATGCAAATGTGAAGCTTAATTCGATGGAAAATTTTTACACAGGGAGGTGAGATTGAAAATAGATTTCACGTGAATATTCAACATCCTGTTACAATTATTCATAAGAAGCGCGGTATCAAAACAATTGTGTAACATTTCCTTAAAAAAGAAAAACCAGTTCTCGAAAATGAAACACCCTTTGTATGTAACTTTCGATTTATACATAAATGGCAGTAGAATTTAACGATTTTCAGAGTTATTTCGTGGGACATTCAGGTTAAATTGAAATAAAACACTATTATTATTTAAAAAAAAAAGAAGAAAATTGTACAATGAAAATGTACTCGGTATATCAGATTAATCTCGATTCTGTTGTTCGTCGTTGTAAATGAAACACTCCGTATATTGTTCGAAATTAACCAGTGAGATTCGTTTATTTCGTTCATCTCGCGCGAATCTGAATACGTTCAAGTTGATATCTCGGTTCGTCGTAAGAACACGGAAAACCTTGCATATTAGTCAGAATTTATCAGCAAGATTCATCTGTTTTCTTTGTTTCGCGCGTCTTCAAGAACTGAGGAAAGTCACAAGAATGGTTTTATTTTAATATGCGCCGAAATAGAACGGAAGATTTTTAGCGAATAACCTGAAAACAAGGAAACTGCGCGCGGTTCCACCGGCGAATGTTGCACGTCGGAGAAAGTTCGACGAAGGATGTTTCACAGAGTAATTAACGTTCTTGCTTACCTGTGTCGGTGAATCTTTTACGGAGGATAATACCGTCCGACAAATGAAAATATTAATTATCTTCCCAGACGCTGTAATCACTCTCGATTGGATTATCCAACAGATCAACCGATCATTTCCATAGTCACATACTAATTGGTATCAGTCAGTTATGAAATTATTATTAGGATCGATTCACATTTATCTGTTTAATACTCTTTGTACAAAATGGAAGAAAATAGGAAAACAGCGCAGTGGATCTTATTCTCTGTAAGTTGAAAACATCAATTTGCAGCTGAATTATTGATTAAAATTCGAAGTTTTCTGTTACGAATCGTAGTCCAAGTGGTAATTTTGAAAGAAGTTTAATAAACTGAGAGCTAGATCTGTTTCTTCAGTTTTTCGAAAATCAGATCCAATGGATTTTCATTAATTCTGTTAAGGACTTTGAGCCAGCCAGCAATGATATAATTGATTTTTCAAGGTAAAAACGCGTTTGTTGAAGTGTGTTTTTTAAAAATTTATCGACGTAATTCAATGTTTTTTCCTTTTTTTAATGGAAAAAAATAGTAATACCGTCACTCGTTTCGCTTAATATGCGGGTAAGTGTAAGAAGGAAATATCAATTCGATAAGTAAGATTGTAATACAATGCTTCTTTATTATTCCCTTTTTAAAAACACCAGCGATGGTCGATTACTTCACACTTTAAATAACCTAGTTAATTCTGCGTTGCACAATACGATGAAAATGTTCCGAAAGTTTCGAAATTCAATTCGAATATCTGTTATAATTACCGTGCATATATTTGCCACGCATTTTACCATGTATTTTACTCGCCGAAGAAAATGAACTCTTTCTCTTCTAAACTTAGAAATTCCGAATTGTAGAATTTTCAAATTTGTAAAAATTCCCAAATTAAAAAGAGAAAATTCATCTCTTCGCCGACAAAAATTTCTCAATTTTTCAATTCCGAGAAGAAATTGAAAAATCTCGAAAAATTCCGCAGCAAAACCGAAAGCTTGCAAAAAACTTTAATTCGTCCACTGAGAAATTTCATTCTTTTCAAATTCAGCTTAAACAAAAATTCGCTCGTTTGTCTTGATTGTGCACAAAATGAAAATGTCTACCTTACCTATCGAGCTTACCTTCCTTCGGTCCTTTTTCTTCTCAAAAATGAAAGCTCAGAATTGCCAAAAAATTGCACGGTGTCACAACGAAGTTTCGAACGTAGTGAAAAATCGATGGGTTTCCTTCTTTCGAACGTGAATCCGATCGACCGGTCCTCGAATTTAAATAGCTCGCCTCGGCCACACTACTTTCCTCCACGAACACTCAGACGTAACTGAAAGATCTCGCGATACAATCATACCTCTGCAATCGTAACCGCGAGGAACGTGTTCACGAGGGTTGCTTTGACTCACGTCCCATTATTTCCTCCCACTGAGTTGTCGTGTAGTTTCCTTCTCGAGGAAAAACACGCGGAATCGTTCGATCGAAATCTTTCACGGATGAATGCTCGATAGAAATGTCCAATTTCAAAACGAAATTACGCGATGTTTTTTCTCGTGCAACTGACAGAGATTAACTTTCATTATCGATCGTCGGAATTTTCCTCCGAACTTCGTGTAAATTGTAGTATTTTTCTGTTTTATTATAATTCCTGTGGTCAGATGGTAGAACCTGATATGCGCGGTTTTCGTAATTGTACAGTGAAACAATTTTAAAGTTTCTTCGGAGTACCTTTGGAGTAGCAAAACATTTCACATCTCGTGAATTGCCATTTCGTCTTTCTTTTTTTAATTAGACGACGCAGAGATGTTTTTTGCCATCTCAATTTTATTTATTTTTAATGTTCTTATTATGTACGCGGAAAAAAGGAGAGCGTATGTAAAAAAGAGAAGATATGTATATTAGAATTATGAATAGGGTAAATGAAAACAGAAAAATGATGAATAGATAAATGGGAATGGGGAAAAAAATAAACTATAGGTCAGAGGGAGGACAGAAATGTCATGGAATGTGGCGAAGAATGAAGGATTTTCATTTTTATTTATAATACATATTTAATTAATTCTCTTTTTATCTGTCGATCATTGGGTCTCTAATGCATACTAAATTCAGATCAATTTTTCTTCGAGTATATGTATACTCAAGTGGGACATGTCCCACTGGTGACGAAAGGGTTAAGTAATTCTTTCGAAGAAATGAATAAGTGAAACAATGAACAACTTGTTAGAATAATGAGGATTACCACGAGAACATCTTAGCCTGCGTGTCGCGCGCTATGTTTAACGATTTCACAAAGTATATACATATGTACTTGGCACTTGACGTCGGAATTTGATGAAATTTTTCGATTTATCAGCAGTTAAGCATTTTGACAACTCGGTTAAATAAAATTTCAATTTCAACGACGAGGTAAATAACCGTTTAAAAAATCGCGTCACAGGTAATTACACTGTAAAAAGTGTCATGCTTCTAAAATTGCCACGACTCCCACGAAAAGCATAGGATTTTTTCATTTTATACGTACTAAAAAAATGAAAATGTTTAGTTTTTTTTTTTAAGCAGGACAAGATTAATCGAGATGAAAGTTTTCTTCAACAACTTTTATTCGTATGTACAAACAAAGAAAAAGAGAACACCGTTACTCCGGTGCAAAACAATAATTTTGCGAGGATAAAACAAATCTTGACGATCTTCACAGAGTTATAGAAAAATACTTGTTACTCAGGTTGAGCAACAATTTCGTTGCACTCTTATCATCATCTTAGAAGTATAATAATACGTTTTTTCAATTAAGATTACAAAATCCGAATCGTCGAATTCTCAGCGTTTCTCTGTTAGAAATGTTTCACAGTTCTTGGTGTAAAGTAATAACGGGGATCCTCTTAACAGGAGATCGAGTCTTGAGCCAAACTTTTCATTGATCGATCGAACAGAGTATCTCACGTTCGATTTCCAGCATCTTTCACGGAACCACTTACACTTCTACGCGTGCAACATTCTTCGTCGCTTTTCATCCTTTGTCCAGTTCCACTTTTTGGAGAAAGTGCTCATAGAGCATCAAACAACAACCACGACACGTGTAGCGTGATTTTCTCATTTCTTTCGCGATACGTTTGAGAATGCTCATTACTGGATACGAATTGTTATTTGAATTTCTATTTCGCGACTCGACAAGAAAGGTCAAACTTCTATTTCGGTGGTTTCAGGCGGCTGTTGCCAGCCTCCAAATGCTCTTTCGATCTCCTGAGCCACGGCAATTGTCAGATGATCGTTTCCGGCGTTTGCAACGATCTGTGGAGAAACGGCACCGAAATGTGTCAATTTATTCGAGCAATTATTTTTTTAAGAACATTTTGCCATTTTGAGCAGTTCTTTAGACAGATGACTTTGAGCTGTTACGAGTTGTTTTGTGCCAAATTTTTAGCACTTAGGAGCACCACTTTGAGCACAATTGTAGCGATAATTTAGAGTCAAATTTGAGTAATAATTCTGAGCCAATTTAAGCCATAGTTCTGACTCAATTTGAGTCATGGTTTTGAGCTAATTTTGGGCGATAATTTTGAACCAACTTTGAGCAACAGTTTGAGCCAATTTTGAGCATTAATTTTAACTGGAAATGTACTTACTTGTAAGCCAACAGGCAAGCCCTTCTTGTTCAGTCCTATTGGACACTGAGTGACAGGAATTCCAAGCACGTTATAAATCATCATATAGGTAAAATTAGCTACCCTTGGGTATGACTGGTACTGATAATGGCTCGCCGATATAAACGTCGGAAATATTAATACACCGTTATCACCAAGAAGATCCTAGAATTGTAAATAAAAATTCTCATGCACAGTTTGCATTTTTAATACATATTACGTATGCATAAGTGCAAGCTTACCTCGAACTGTTTCTTCAAAGACATCTTCTTCTCTGCCATTTTGCGACGATAGCTCTCTGGTAGCTTGCTGAACGCCCATTTCATGAAACTATACGAGATTGCTGGCAAGGTGTGAGACGATACTAGGAAAATATACTTCAGTACCTCTAGCAGACTTCTACTCGATCCCTAAACGATCGATAATCATTAATTAAGTTGAATAAATTAATTTCTTACCCGTAAAAATATATAAATAAATAATCTGAGATTTATCGAATGAAATGCAGGCTTACAGCAAATTTCATTTCTTCCATGACGCCTTCGACGTCCATATGCAGAAGAAGATGCGAAGATATGTTGAATGCGAATTTCATGTCGTTCAGTTGCGCCTGAAAGTGCATTTTTATATTGATTTGTTCATAATTGGCCACAACAATTATCATTGTACAGGGTTCTTCCGAAGAATCGTACGAAAAAATGTTACTCCACATTTTCGATGTATCTTTTCACGCAGATTCGTCCCTTTTTCGAATTCTACCGCTAAATTCTGTTTCTCTAAAAACGGTACTTTGCATATAAGTGTCGATCATTTTGAAGCGCCCTGTACAACGTGAAAAGGTACTTTATACTGTGTGCAAATATTTAACTGCACGTTTTCAACGACAACCTTTTGAACTTTCAATCCGTGCGTCGTTTCGATGTGCGTCCTCAATCTCTGAATCGCCTGTCTCATATCTTTGTTTATGGAATTCGTGATTCCGCAGCAGTCTTCCATGTAGAAGAACTTCATATTCTTCATAGACACCTGAACAATTAAATTGTCATTATTATCACGAGAGACGAGTTTTTTTAACCTCGAGAACAAACGTCATTTTCACCTTCTCGTCGAATTGTCGTCGATTTTCGTCTGCTTGAGATATGATCTTCATCATAAGCGAGAAATCATCCGCGTACCTGACCATAGTTCCTATGGTGAAATACTGAGGCCAGTTTTTGTCCGTGGAATCCGGTTTGTGACCTTTGCAAGGCACCATACCTACGTCAAAGAAAATCACTTGTTATCTCTTTTTCCCGACGGTACAACACGTTCGCTGTCGCCAAAAAGTTACGAGAGACGTGTCGTGTTTGCCACCAATTTGTACCCTCAGTCAGACACCGTGATTTTCATAAGATTCCCTCGATGATAGTCGTCGACCGCACAGAACTACTGTTCATTTCAAATTTCTCGGCTGTGATCGATCGATACGCTGTCGACACTCTGTCGACGATGGCACACGGCGCGTCATTCTGTGTCGACGCATTGTCGACGATGGCACACGGCGCGTCATTCTGTGTCGACGCACTGTCGACGATGGCACACGAGATGTATCATTCTGTGTCGACGCACTGTCGACGATGGCACACGAGATGTGTCAGTCTGTGTCGACAATGCTTCGACAGTGGCAGCGAACGTGTTAAGTTAACTTTGGAAATATATGCGTGAAAACTCACAGGGTGAGGGTTTGTGACCAAAAACTCCGCAGAACATGGCCGGAAGCCTGGCTGAACCCGCGATATCCGATACAAGGCTCACGACTGACGCTGCGGAGCTCAAAAGTGCGGCCTAAACAATGGAAGAAAAATGTAGTTCGTAAGCCTTTTCCTATTTTTTTTTTATCTCCCGTTCGTCATAGTTCGAAAAGAATATCGGGTGTTTTTAAAACAATGGAATTTTTACCGATAAAAATGAGAAATTTCAAAAGACGAACCTCTCCACCGGAAGAACCACCAGCCACTCTGGTGCTGTTGTAAGGATTCCATGTGGGACCAGTCACTTTGTTGTTGCTCTCCCAGAACAAGCATAATTCCGGAGTATTGCTAACGAGAAGAACAATAGCGCCTGCTTCGCGCACGAATTTCACGACTACTGCATCCTGCGTTGCTTTCTGTGCACTGTTTTTCTTCACGCCAACCGAGTGAGACATTCCTACGGAAGACGAAGAGGAAGATGAAAAATTATAATCCATACACTCGCGTTCAGTTTTGTTTCCGATGAATTATTCATAGTCTGCTTTTTTTGACGTGTATTTTACGAGACACGTTCGGTGTGATAAAAACAGAATTGCGGTATGCAGCAGAGAATGCTTTGATTATGGAGATTTTGCGTTTTAACAGTGGAAGCTTTTTTGCTCGAATCATCTCGGTGGGAGGGGAAAATTGTACTTTAAACGGCAGATTAAGCATCAGAAAAAGTGTCGAGACTATATCACTCTTTGTTTTTTAGTATAATAAAAATTATCTTTGACAAAAAACGTTCGAGACGTAAATGTATTCGTATGGATAAAAATAGTGGAAAGTAAAAAGAGAATCGAGCGATATTTGCCTTGGGAGGTAAGAAAAGGGAATTGAACCGCTGTAAATGCAACATGTTAAGTAATATATAATATATTGAGTAATGTGAAACAGATGTGATTAATCGCAGAGGGAAAATGAATAATGCTCGCGGTGAATATAAAGGGAACAATGAAATCGTAAATGTGACGCAGAAGCATTAGAATCACCAGAGTGGATGTTAATTAACAGTCGAACGGAATTTTAATTATGCTATGATACTTCCTTGATTTGATTCGATGCGTAAGGGAACCAGGTGCTTCCTGTATTAAAATTCAACCTCACCTTGGAATCTCCTCTGTACAATTATATTTATCAAACTAATAACAACGGAACTGTTCTGAAAAAACAATTTTTTAACTTTTTTTGGGGGGGGAGGGGGAAACTTCAATTATTTTGAGAACGTAAAAACGAATCATTCAAAGAGATCTCCGCTTAAAACACATTTCGAAAAATTCACGAAAGAAAAGGAAGAAAAAAGATAAAATTAGATTAATGAAATTCAACGAGATTGATTAAATTCAGCGGGCTAATCAGATTCAAAGTGAACGAAGCAAGTTGAATACCGAAGGTAAGTGTATATTTCTATCGGTGCTTATTATCAACGCTTGAAATAAACAGATAAAAGGAAGAAAACGAGAGAGGAAAAGTGATGGTAAAAAGAGATATGCAGGGAGAGATATGTGGGACATGCAAGGTTTCATTACAGGCTCTCCTACACGCTGCACTCGAGGCACACGAGTGAACCGATCCCGTACGATGAAACCGGTTCTTCTTATCGACATTGCTTCGAATGGGTTCAAGATCCGCAGCGGCAATCTCTGTACAAAAATACTTGTATACCTGTTCGTGCAGTGATTGAACCTGCTCGCAAGAAGAAAAACGGATTGGGAAATAGACGCGGGGGAGTAAGTGTGGTTAATACAGAGATCAGAAGAAATTTGATGAAATTTAATACATCGTTACGATACGGAAATCAGATTCAATTTTGATGAAACGTCCCGTTCAGAGGTTTCCATTAATTGCTAAACATGCGATAATTTTGCGTGCAAAAATTGCAATTTAACCCTTTGCACTCCAAAACTGTACTAAAGCTGACCTTTGACCTCTGTCGCTTTTATAGCGACATGCGTGATTGCTTTGAGGAACTTCAAAATGTAAAATTCAAGTTTTTTTTGGATTATTAAAAGTTTTTTCTTTTTCGAAAACGAAATGAAGAATGCTCGGAGAACAGAGGGTTAAAAAAGGAAATTGACGGAGTTTCGAAGAGTGAATCCGTGATTCACGGTGTTCCATATAAATGGAGCTCATGATCAAATTGCGAACATGTGACTCGCGATGGTCAGTTCAAATGGAAATTAGATCGAACGTACCTTGAACAGCAATGCTCTCCTTCACAGTGATAGGTACACCAAGAAGAGGCATTTCTTGGGCCAGTTCATCCTCGGTTTTTGTGGTCCATGCTAAAAACTCGTCCACTTTGCGTGCCTCTTGAATAGCTGCGTCGAATCTCGACTCGACGATAGCGTTCAATACGGGATTCACGTCCTCGCATCTCTCTATGTAGGCTCTGATCACCTCTTCGCTGCTGATCTGTAGAAAATTCAACGGAAAAAACGGAAGTTTCTTTTATCCTTTCAATTGAAAGAGAAAGATGTGAGAGTTTTTAGTAGATTTTCGTTCCGTTTCACCTCTTTCCTACGAATTCTCCGCGCAATTTCGCTCGCTGAAAGCAGCAACAATGGACTTTTTATGGGCGGCAGGCGTTTCCGTTTCTTGAAGAATTGCAGCATCAGAAATGGCGTTACCAAACACGATATCAGAAACAGGAGAAATTTCAGTATCTTTTGACCGATCAGTATCATCGTATCCTGTAAAGGATAAATAGAAAAATTAACAAGTGTCTTAATTTCATCTTTTTTCAACTCGAATATCAAAAAATTCACGTGTAATTCGTGTAAGTGTAACGCGGAGACATGCGTTTGTATTTGTTCGCAGTAACGATCGACATGATTGATACTCCGACGAATTAACGAGAAACCTTGTTACGTTTAAGAACGATCTTCTAATCAAGCTATCGAAGAAAATCAATTTTATCCGACAAGATGACGTTAAAAAAAGTTAAGCTAACTCTAAAGACTTTCCTTTTCTTAGAATTAACTAACTAACCCGGTCAACATTTTTCGTCGAATTAACTGAAAAGTGAAGAGTTTTCATCGAAAAAAAAGTATTTGTTACGCTGTCTAATTTTTTTTTTCGAACTTTTTTCTCGTCGGATTATCGAATGCGATTAAAAATTCGTGACGATAGTTACACGTCGAACACCCTGTACAAAAATTTGCTGTTAATAAGCTTCTCCAGAGAGGAATTAATTCACAAGCGTCGTAAAACAATTGAAAGTTGACTGATCGAGAATTATAAATATACCTACGTAGAAATGATATTCAGAAAGACCGTGATTAATTTTACCGAACCTTCGTCGTTAAGGATTCACCAGAATCATAAAATTATCCTATTATATACCGTAATATTATTTTTATCCCGTATTTTCAGATTATTTCCAGCGGTTAATTTATTAAGCACAATTAGCATGTTCCGCCGAGGCATGATTAACGACCATGAGAGTATCGTTACGACCGATTCGTGGCTTCCTTACGCGGGGACCAAGGATCAATTTCTCATACGTCGGGCGAGAAAGTTCAACGTGATAATCGGTGGCGCGATTCACGGCTCGAGCAATTGGCACATTGTTAAAGACGAGCAGTGTGTCAAGAATCGCGACTTCTCGAGGAGAACCTCTCGAACAATCTCTTCGCTTTCGTTAGCTTTCATTAGCAAACGCGAAAGCAAGAAGATTCGAACGATAGAATCGAGAAGGAAAAGAAGAAGAAAAGATTCTGGAAAAGATTGATATATCGGCGAAAAGTTTTCCATTAGCGAGGAGAGTTGTTGCGGTGATTATTCTTACGAAAAGGTGCGAATGATAAATGACTTACAAAGGTACGAGTCACACTCTCGGTGCAGTTTATTACGGCGAAGATGTGACGAAAAGATAATTTTCTACGCTGCAACAAATTGGCAATTTAACTCTACTTTTAGCGCTCGAATTCAAGTCCAGTTTGAAAGTTTCTATGCTTTGCAAATGTGGTTCCGTTTCTTGTTTTTTAGGACACGTCGAACGTGAAAGGGAACATAAACCGAGCATTTTTCCTTCATCGCCGCCCCGTATTTGCACAACCATGATTACCAGACGCTTGAAAAATTTCTCTACACCGTATTTAGCCATAAATGACCTGTCGACGTTTGCTTGTTTAGCTTCGCTGCACTGAATCGCACTGGGAAAATGGAAGATTTTTTCGTTTTTCTATTATCGAACTGGAAAATAGGAGGACGATTATTTTGAGAATTTTCGAGAGATCTCGTAGATACATTTCTCTGAAATATTCCTTTGATAGAAATATTACGTACAGGGTGTGACGATGAAGTTTTTCTTCCAGATTTTCAAATTGGGAAATAGTGAGATGATTATTTTGGGAATTTTCGAGAACGTACTTAAACACACATTTTTCTGAAATATTTTTTAACGACAGTGAAAGAAGTATATGTGTTTGTGTAGGTTAAGTTAGGTTTTATTAAAGGATTTTATTATATCTTTTTTATAATTTTTATTTTCAGAGGAAATATTTATTTAACTGTTTCTATTCGATCGTTATAACTCACCGAACGATTAGCCAGTAGTTTGGCGTACACCAACGGCAAAACACACAACAGGAGTTCCATGTTTCTTTTTTTCCCACGATCGACAGACTCAAGAAACACTTAACTAAAATCGAACGCGTTCGAGAAGATGATATGACACTTATACGATCAACGAATATCTTGTTAGAAGAGAAGAAACGTTACTCCTCGTTCTCATTGTCCGCCTTCTGTATTTTATCGCGTGTTATAGTTATCATCGAATGACACACCCGCGCTGAAAGCATTTTCCAATTTGCTCTTTCGTTTATCTATTTAATTTGAATCTAATAGTGACGTTGAGTAATAGTTCACGATTTTTCATCGTCTCCTTTCAGAGTGATTCATCTAGCTTTTGATTGATTAATTTTGACAAATTTTAGTGTTCCAATCTAAATTTCAATTTTATTAACGTTATCTAACAAGTCTCTACTTTGTCCCGTTTCGATTTCTCCCGAGTAATATATCTTTTCATCCCCTTTCCAACTCGACGTCGAATTATCAATTGTTGAATTTTAGCAATTCTCAGCTCCAAAAAGTCTCATTTGTTCGTAAGAAAATTCCTCTACGAATATTTTCTACTTTTTTACACACTCCAAAAAATAATTTATGTCGTTCGTCACACTTCAAGCAAGATTAATACTATTCTCTTATCATTCACATCCCCGAAAATAGTTGAAATTTTCTGCTACTCTTTGTCACGTGTGGAGGAAAAATCGAAAGGAAAAGAAACACTCGTCGCAATAACTCTGGAAACGTCAGAAAGTGTTCTCTACGAGTTCAACAACTCGATAACTGGTATCGAAACGAGCGATAAGAAAATTCGTTGGTGATGGCGCGCGATTTCAGTAGCCGCGGCGTGAACTAAGCGGGTACGACACGCGTGCAGCATACTTAAACGAAAAACCATCATGGTGGGGCGTTTCTAAAACCCTCCACGACCTTCTACTACAGTTAGAAGAGAGTTGGTTGCTTAGAGAATGCCTCCTTTATCGTCTAACGGATTAATAACCGCGTGACAGTTGTTCATACTCGAGGTTCTCGCCCTAAATTCGATCAACGATCTCTCCTCGATCCCCTCCGATCAATCGAATCGCTGTTTGCGCACCGTCGATGTCCATTGGAAGTCTTAGTAGACGTTAAGATGTTTATGTACGAGTCTTGTTGGCAATTCTATTTGCCGTGAGTCCTCTCGAACGAGCAAAAGTGACTTTTGAATTTTGATCTTCGTTCGTTCGATCACGCTAAATGGAAATTTTATTAAACTCCTTTTTTTCCTAACTATCGATATTTCGTCTGCTGTCTGTCTTCGATATAAAGAAATTTGACAAAGAGTGAATGCAAAATTTCCAGTTAAAATTCTTGCGTTCCTGTGTTGAATTTTTGGAGTTATTTTTATTTTTTTTTAATTTGAATCAGTCGGCTATTATTTTGAGATTCGACAGAAAGTGAGTGCAAACTTTTCACTCGAAATTATTACGTTTGTGAGTTGAATTTTTGGTGATTTTTTATTCTTTTTAATTTGAATCAGTCGGCTATTATTTTGAGATTCGATAGACAGTGAGTGCAAACTTTTCACTCGAAATTATTACGTCTGTGAGCTGAATTTTTGGTGATTTTTTATTCTTTTTAATTTGAATCAGTCGGCTATTATTTTCAGATTCGATAGAAAGTGTGTGAAAAATTATCGCTGGAAATTCTTACGATCGTGAGTTATTTTCTTTATTTTCTTCGTTTGAATCAGTCACGTAATTATTTTCCGATTATTCATAGACATATCACGCGACTGAGTCTCATGATTAATATTGACAATGATCCTTTTACGAGTTGTCATAAAATCTTCATGATTTACTTCACCTTCTACAATACTCTTAGCTTCATTTTTTTTTACCGTTTTAATTTCTCGTAAATTTTACGGTTATTCTTAGCTCTTTCATTCGTCATCTTCCATCTCTCCCCTAACGAAACCTTTTTCTGATCTATTCATCTGCTCAATTATGTCTTCTCTTACTTGCCCAATTTAGCCTTCTTTCAGTTCTTCCATTTGACATTCCACAATTCTCATCGAAGATGCGTCGAAAACTACAGTTTTAATATTCTTCCTGGATTATTCATTTAACGTCTCGAGGATTTCTATTCATGGAATTCCTTTGAAGTATTTGCTCATTCGGTTAGCATTTTGCCCCACTGTTAAGACTCTTCCTCGTATTTTCCTCTTCTAATGCAACAATATTTCCTTCTTCTAGTCGTAAATCACATTCATGGATTACTTTTCTTCTTTCAATCCTATTCTGTGCTCAGTTTTCTTCTTCTTTAACTCTGTATTCTTCTGTCAATCGTGAACTGTAACTTCGTTTTCTTCTTTCAGCTGTAATCTTCATTCTCTGTTTAATTTTCTTCTTTTCCACGTTGTATCCTCTTCTTCCACTCTTAAGCCACATTTTGTCATTTAATTTTCTTCTTTCAGTTCTGCTCTATCCTCAATTTTCTTCTTTTAATTCTGTTATATACTCAGCTCTCTTCTTCTTCAACTCTGTATTCTTCTGTCAATCTTGAACTGTAACTTCGTTTTCTTCTTTCAACGATAATCTCTCGTTCTACGCAGAATATTTATCCTTCGATCATGAAAATGATCTTTTTTCCTTGAGTTTATTGCTTTTATATTGTAATCTCTGTCTTTTTTTTCGTAATTCTTTCCCAACCGAGGAAAATTGTTTTCCTCGATGAAGGATTACTCGAAATCGCTAGAATTAATTGAAATTCCTCATTAAAACGCGTTCGACGTATAAACAATGCAGTTGTTAAGTACGATCGAAGACTGAAACCGCCTAGATCGATGGAATATCGTTGCACCATCTGCTTAACGCCCCGAAGGACAAGTGAAGCTGTTTTCCACGGCGAATGGCGTGTTGCAACTCTGCAAATAAGACGAGAGCCTCTTGTCTATCGCTTTTACACCGAGCTGCAGCGTGTTAGTAACGTGTCACCTGTAATTCAGTCTTTTTCTGAATTATCCTAATTATTGAAAGCTTCTGTGACCCACTCGAGCGTCACGATAATCCGGGAAAAATCCTTTTACCTTCTCAGCAGATGCTTGGAACGTTAAATTCTTAAATATTTAAGTTTTTAAATATTTTAATTTTCAAATTTTAAAATCAGTTTCTAATATTAAAACGGTGTGCTGAGCGATCGCACGATCTATCCGCGTGCAACTGCAGGATTTTTTTGCCTTATCATCGAACAAGCTTAATTAACTACAAACTATTATACTAAAGCGTTTATTATGTATCGTAATAATTGGCTTGATAGAAGTTCATGTCTACAATTAGTAACCGTTTATTCACTAGATTTAACCATTACACACCACTTATCACTCGTTCTATTCATAATTACTTGCTTAATACTGCGAGATGCGACACGTGATTGTTCATCGATATCTCACCTTCCTCTTTAAATCAATGTTCCATCTATTCGTTGATATTTTCATTCAAGAATTTCAATATCTTTCAGCGAATGCGCCTGGATCATCGAAACGGTCCTCGAGTGTCGTTCGCGTGTCGCAATTGTGCATGCAATCGACATGCATTCCCGATGCGTTTGGCTAAAATGATCGCGTACCTCGTATGAATCCTAGTGGACGTGTGATTAACGTTAATTTCGCGTGAAAACGTCTAGGAAATGCAATAGAGTCGAAATTTCTCGAAGGATCTTCGCATTACCGGAAATTGCAAATAGAACGATGAAAGAATTTTCATTTTTTACCATCTTGGAAAATTTTAATACTTCCAAATTGAAATTTCTATAAATTAAAAGTAAAACTAAAGTCAAACTTAGATTTAAACTCAGGATTTAAGTTAGATTTGAATTGTAATTCTTATTGACAGAAATAGCAAGAAAAACAAATTAATTTATTCCTCTTTTTTTTGCGACATAAAATTATTCATCGACCCTTCCGTCCAAGTTACTTTTCTAACGAATTTATTAGTCATCTATTGATCATCGTGTAATTACTCTGTAATGGATGTTAAATTGAGATCAGTTTTCGTTCGTTCGAATCCTACTCAAGTCGAGCACGCGCGTTGCACTAGTCACGAAAGGGTTAAGTAATAAAAAGCAGAATGACGAAACAAGAAGGAGCTTGAAAAACGAGGCACGTTCTTTATTTTTCGAATCTGCATGAAAGCGGTGCTCGATGAGGTAATCGAACGTTAATGTCTGTTATTACACAGGAAACATGCTAACGAATCGCGGGATAGAGAAAAAGAGAAACAAAATGGTTAGAGATAAAAAACTTGCGAGCCACTTCGATTTGACAAGATTTCATAGGTTGAAGTGTTTACGATGATCTAATAACTGATACACGGGGTGTCTCATTAGTGATGTCATTCGATTGAAACGTACGTTTATTTTTCTACCGAATTTTAAACCTTGGCCACCTTAATTTTCATTCGAATTTTAATCGAATATTTGACACATATGTCTTATTTTACATTTAAATACAATTATTACGAAAAAATTGTGTTCATCGTGAAAAGTAAATTTGGTTACTGTTAACCCTTTGCACTCCAATGGCGCTTTTATGGCGACACGGGTAAATTACTTTGGAGAAATGTACATTTCAGACTGTTTTCATATTACTTTATATTATCGAAATAATGCAAATTAACGTAAGAAATAGAAATAAATAAATTGGTAAACACTAAAAATCCTTTTTTCATTTCAAGACAAAACTTTGGCTTTCCAGAAGTTTCGCTACCAATTTTATCAAAAAATGCTTAGACTATAAAGGGTTATTAAAAGGTCATTGTCAAGGTCACACGATTGAGTTTCAAGGTCACCTCGAATTTTTCAATTTTCCACGCTTCGACTTAGCACCGAAAGTGGTTCGATGATTGGCAGTATGTATGACACGACCTAAAGATGAACTTGAGTGTCGAATGCAATGTCGACGAAGCACGAATATACCTGCTAAAATTGCAGTCTCTGAAAAAGGAAACAGGGTTATATTCTCGATCGTTGTTCCAATTTTTTCCTGTTCAAGGTCATCTGCAATTTACCTTATC